TTTAACAAAAACGAAGATTACAATCGGAGATTCAACTTTTTATTCCTGAATAGTTTTATTTCATCACATAATTAGAAATATAATATTTTATTATGTTAGAACTTGCATATTTTTTGAGAAACGTAATTAGTGTATCAAATAATTTTAGAAAATTTCGTCATTATTCAGCGCACCTTTGAAAAAATACCATCTGTTTCTAGCATCAGAAAGTACATTGACTCTACTGATCGGCACCTGGTTCTGTCATTGCCTTTCGAAAATGCTAATGCGCTATCTTTAAAATTTCCAATAAAATTGCCGCAAGTAATTCTGATTTCTATTATATAAACTTTCATGAATATTAAATTCTTAACTAGAAACGAAATATTTTTTAACTGATTTATCTACTTTTTTTAAAACTTGCGTTTTCGACTAATGCATTAAAAAAAACCGAATATTAAAAATAGAAATAAACAAATTCCTGGTGTAGTAATTATTCGTTCAGGATGCCAAAAATTTTTAACAAACCCTGCAGTCAACACACACATGCCTGATGCATCTGGATACGTGCGTGGTTCGAAAACAAAAACGCAGTTCGAAACATGCGAGATTTTCACGAGCGATGGTCCGAACGAACGTCCGCGTCGACTCGTTGTATAAACACGTGTCAAACTGCGAACGAACATGGAACCCGGTTTCAAAGTGAAAACGAAAGAAGGGCAAAACTTGATGTCAATCCTTTAAGATCCGAGAGAATTTCGAAAAAAATCAATCAAAATTAAGTTCTCTAATTGTAATTTTAATTTTGATATTAGCAAAATTGCAGACGTCTGTATAGTATTTTACAAAGAATTGAAAGATACAGCCGCAAGGAATAATCACTCATTATTTCGAACAGATTAAAATCGAAATAAAATTTCGATGAATCAAACTCTCGATACTATGCAAAAAATATATCTTATATCAATTGAATTTTCTTCGGCACAAAATACATACATAAGAATCATGTTTGTAGCATTAATATCTGACTTCATAATTTATATCGGTTTGAATCCCATATCGAATCTTTGCAGAAGTATCGATACGAATCTCATAAACCACTATCAAATGTACCTCGGCACAAAACCGTGAAGGGTTAAACCGTTCGAAAACGCGCGATTTTCCACTTCGTTTGCTGCCTATTCGAGCATCGGTCCCGCGTCTAAACCAGTCTCGATTTATCCCTCGTGTGTGACTACTCCGGTAAAATCTTAAGTGCTAATGGCCCCCTCGAGCATCCGACAAACGTACGTAATTTCATTAGCACTCGGGACTTTCTATGCTTCGGCTTCTATTTTACACGCATTTCCCGTAATTTGACAGTAGAAAGCCTGTTTGTTGAAAATATATTTAACTCCCCGCTAACCAATATTACTAACAAACCAATGCAATTTGACGTGTCAATTTTTAGTGTGTGCAATGAGACGTTTACCGTAAATACTTACATAGAACATTTCACAGAAATTATATAAAATGTTAGGGCTAAATTTTTTCGTGAAATTGACACATAATACTTTTCTCTTAGAAAAAATATTTTTAAAATATCAAAAAGAAATTGTGTTTTAAGTGTATAACAAGGTAACACAAATTCCGTTTTTTAACTAAATAAAAGAAAAAAAATCAAAAATTTACTTAATATTAAACGTTAAAAAATCATATCAGGCAATGTCTTTAATATTCCATTAAAAAAAATAATACTTAGTTTTTTAAAAAAGTGTTGAACGAAAAACATTTCTATAAAAACTAATATTAATACTTGATAATAGAACATTGGATCTTTCTTATATATATTTCTCTTTCTGATCATATAATTTTCCAACATTATAGCAGAGAATATATGTTAATTAGCGACTATTTCCTTTCGGATATCTTTAATTAATCGCATCAATTATTTTAGAAACTGCTATGCCACACTAATACGCTTCAACGTCGAGTGATGTCGCAATAAATTTTAAGACACATATTCCTCCGCAATCCTCTTTATGCGAAATACGAAAGGACAAGATCATAAGAGCACTGCTACATTCTAGCTGAGCAGTTAAGCGGTTATGCTCCCGCGAAGAAAAGATCGGTCGCGGTGATACTTCTAAAATTAGCTCGCCGCGCCGCCGCCGCCGCCACCGCGTATAACTTCCTCTCTCTCTCTCAGTGCGCGTATTCGCGAATGTCGTGCGCGTAAATTCCTGCGTGCCGACGTGGACTCGCAACCGCGCGCAAATTAATTGCCGTCGAGCTTCAGAAAAGTTGCCTCGAAAAGCGCACTTCGTGTAACTAATCCCGGTCGACGCCATAAATTTCCTGCTACCCGCTGTTTTCCCCGCGTGTTTCCACTCTATCTCGGCGAAGATGGTGGCTCGATAATGACTTTATGTATATATGTTGCTAGTATTTACGCAAAAGGTAAGATCGCGAAAAATTAGAAATGGAAATATCTTCAAATACGAAATATCAATGCCCAATTTTACATCGTTGTTAATATAGTGAGAAAAGTACGAGAAAAAAAATTATTCTTTCATAACTTTCTTAAAATATTTATATATTATTTACTAGCACAGTTTTGTAATATATCATTGTAAATCTAAGACAAGTTTCATTTAGAAAAATTAAATATTAATTCTATCATATTTTTCCGAATTCCGCGCGATATTTCCTTCATTTTCTATTATAATATAATTTTAGATCACATTCTCAGCTCTGACGCGATATTTCTAGTTTCTCATTACTCTTCTACTAAGAATGAATTTCTAATAGACGTGGATTATTTGAATATCGATTTTGAAGAAGAAAGAGCATCGAGAATGCATTACATCGGCGCCAGGAAATGGATGCATCCGCAGGTACCCCATCGATGCACCGAGCAGCTAGGCAGCTCCCGCGGAGATTGCAATGACGTTTAATAAAGCCGTGATGTATCTGCGCCGAGTTATCAATTAGCAGTAATTGCGCTTAGGCCACGGAAATATCGATAACGCGCGATAAAGAGCGAGAGATGGAAGTCTTAATCGCGATGTGCGACGGCAGTACGTGAGAAAATGTGAACTCGATATATCATAGTTTTTTGGTGCTGCATTATCATGCGACGCCCTCGCTTTTTTCCTTCACGTCGATATCTCGTCGTACGCGACGGGGACTCGAAATGGGAATTAATTAAAGGCCCGGCCCGCAGCAGGTGTCATGATAATTCCTTCGAATTGGCCGTGACGGGGCTCATTATGCAAAGCTATGCAACGCGTGGCCGTGCGTAATCACATGCGTCGTTTCACGGAATTATTTATCCAACTGTCAATAACGTTGCCCTCACGCATACGCGGTGACACAAACCGTTAGCTTTAGCATAATTTATCACGCATTAAGGATGCGCGGTGATTGCACGAAACGGTTTGCTGCTTTCCTTTTTTAAGACGTTATTGATGCATTAATCTCTCGGGGGGGGGGGGGGGTTTAACTCTCAACATTCACGGAAATGCAACGTCAATTGTAATGTTGACACGCTGTCGATATGGCGTGTGACAGTCGTTTGATTCGCCTGTCATGGCAATGTCGACGGACGGGCAATTATTCGCGCGTCATAGTTACGTGTCTCGAATTGTTTTGACACAAGTATCACACTAAGAATGATAAACTAATAAATTATCTCGTTTAAATGTCAAAAGGTATTTGTATCTTGCAATATATTTTAGTCGTACGTAATATCACAAAAAAGATAGTACGACAATTATACAAAAAAACTGATATAGTGTTTGAGATATAAATAAATTAACTAAAATATAACATTATAAAAAAATTTAATATCAAACAAAGAGAAAATTTATTCGCTGTCACCATAAAGTCGCTCTTAATCGCAATAAAATCAGAAACGTTGAACGATTATTCACTTGTATTTCGAATCGTCGCAAAAGGGACGAAGCATAAAGCGCGTTAAAAATAATTTCGAACCCGCTGCCCTTTAAAAAGCGAGCGAAGTTGCGAGAGTCGACGTGAAATACGATCGCGGTTGAGTGTCACTCGTTATATTGCAACACACAAAGGGTTAATGCGCGGGACTCGAGCGATGACCCAGAGAGTTAACCCAAAGTTAACCGAGGGCAATTTCAGAATTGGTCCAGGGTTAGCCCTTGTCTCCGGGAAATAAATAAATCATCGTAAGTGGAAGCAAACCAAGTTGCGCGTAAAGGCCAATGCAATTTTCCAGCCATCATCTTTTAATGCAAACTACTCGTTTTGATTAACTTCCGCCGGAAATGAACGAAAAAGACATGAAAATTTTTAAGTAGCTTAAGACGAGGTAACCAAGTAGAATATTCATTCAAAAAGCTTTTGTTTTTAAAACAAATAATATTGATGAAAAGATTTGTTTGAGTGCCTTTCCAATACTGTTGATTTTCAACTTGTACATTCGTTAATTGTGTTAATTTAAAAAAAATTTTTAAGAATTAAAATATTAAATGTGATTCTTCACGGTGAAAAGGAATTACAATTAGAAAATTTCTGACTGTAAGAGAAAAATTATTATCTTCCTCTTTAAATCTATTCTATTTAGTGTGTTGCATTCTTTTATATACTTTCTATTTTTCGCATGACAAAATACAATTATTGAAATTTAAAGAAATAAAATGAGAAAACATGGGCACAAAATATAAATATATAAAACAACAGATTTATTTATTATATCATCGTTCATTTAAAACAAAGATAGCTAGAAATAAAATTATATTGTTAACAAGAATAAAAAAAGCACTGTCAAAATTTAGACTGTTCATAATATCAGCGTGCTGATTAAAAATCCAATAAATATATTTTTAAATGTGTTATAACGACAGATTATACGAATTTCGGAATGAATAACTATAAAATATTTATGCCCGATCTTTTTTCATCGCGATGTAAATGGAAAGTTTGCCCATTTGCCCAGGTATCTGTTCGATGCAGGTATGATATAATAAATATATCCTTGGCAACAGGCCGAGATTATGTTCACTTACCTTTTCGATGGCTTCCAGCGCCGCTTCAGCACTCCCAGCATGAGTAAACCGACGAAGGAGAGGCCTAAGCGCCAACGGGCTCAGACTCGCAGCTATCGTATCAAGAACCACCACCGGCACTACAACCGACCACTACCGGAATCACACAACCACCGGACAACTTCGCCGATCTTCCCGAGGGATTCTCTCTATCGCACACGAGTCACACCATGATCTCCACCGAACGAGAGTTCCTTTTTCCGCGCGCGGTCTTTAGTCTCTCACGTCGCGATGATCGATCAATTTCCCCGATAGTCGACGCTCGCCGATTAGATGGATCGTCGTCGCTTAACCCCTTCGCGAAATCACTTTCAGTCACGACACGATGGATCGCGTTCTGCAGTTTTCAAGCAGCTTCTTATCATCCTCGTTACTGCACGCCCTTACTTACCGGACACCTTTAATCAGAAAAATAGCAACGATGCTTAAAATCGCTGAAATATAGACATTGATATACATATTTAAAATACATCGATGACAAAGACGTTTACATAAAAAAAAAACAATGAGACGATAACTTTCGATAAATTTTCGAATTGTTTAAAATATTTTAAATATTTCAAATATTTATATTTAATATGATTTAATGTACATTTTATATTTATATACATATATTAGTGTCTCTTTGTGATACACATAAAAAATATACATAATCCATATTGATTAAATTCTTTAAAAAAATGTATCACACGCGATTGCCACCGCTCTCTATATAAGTAAACCACAAACCACAAATGTTATTGCAGCTTGAAATTATATCGCGCAGCGTTTGTAAGGAATAATATTGTTTCTCGTAAAAGATAAATTCTGCCCGATGGTTTACGGCGCTTTGTTTTGTCTCGATGGAAGTTCAATAACGAATAACAATCGTTCCACGTGCACAACCGTTAAATATACAATTTACATCAAACGTTACACGAGAACGACGATTCACTTTTTCCGCACTGCAGCATTAGAATGTGCGTGTTTTACGATGCAAACTCGCACAGCACGGTAACGCAACACGGTCGCGAAGATTCTATTTGCCATTCACAAAGGATCTCATAAATAATAAAGCACGTCGCTCGACAAATATTTATCCCGCTTCCGGGCTCGCGGAATAATTTATCACCCTTCGAGAGAGAGCCGCAGCGTCACGTCGACGTCGCGAAGGAAAATTTGATCGATAACTCAAACGCTCGCTCGAAAGTCCTGTGAGTTTAAGTCGGTTTAAATACCGACGTGTGCTCCTATCTGAATATTGAGAATCGTTTTTACATCTTCGTCTAATTAACCGTCGGGAATTGAGCTGACGCGTCGCGCGGAGCCCAATGATTAAAGATTGAATTATAAATCACGACCCTCTAATTAAGACGATAATTAATCGATAGTGCTCCAGAGAGACGGGCACCTTTTGTCGGCTATAAGCGAGGAAAATTCATCTCCCTCACAAAAACTGCCCCGCCTTTTTTTCTAAAAAGTAACAGCGGTTCTTTTTTTAAGACTGGCTATTATCCCTATAATTTATTTATCTTACAAATCGTAAAAATAAAAATGCTATTACTTTACTGCGCGGACAAGGTTCCATGAGAAACACTATTAGAAACAGATCCGTGTAATTAACTTAATAGCATACTGCATTGCTCGAAAGAATTTAATTTAATTTTTAATTACTTGGAACTTTGAGAAAATTAAATCGTTGAATCTTCGAATATTTGTCAAAGTAATTTTTCGCTTTGAAAAACAGATATTTACACAAATTACGTTAAATTTCTGCAACATGTGAGATGCTACGAATTCATAAATTATTTGAAGCAACAATCTGAAGCAAGTATAAATCATTATTCTACACAATGTACAGTTAACAAGCGTGATTGTGCGTTGTGCAGGCAGCATTGCAGGTACGAAAGCGACGCAAACGTCGATTTCCGATTCCTCGATGGGAAATGACGTTTAAGCCGGTATTACTCGGGTATTAGAGTGACCTTGATTTGCTTTCTGAGATTATTGGTTTGCGAGCGAATCACGATCAATGCGGCTGTGAGCGTCCAATTGCCGCGAAATTGCATAACCCGTGCTCAAAGGCTATTTCAGGCTTAACCGCAGTTGTACGCGGGGGTAAGGTAGAAATGGACAAATCGATATTTTATTTGCTGTGCGTTCAAATCACGTTGACAAATGACAATGAGAGCGTGATACGCGACTGCAAATAATACGATCGCAAATAATAATTTTGCCAGTGCAGGTGGATAGATGTTAAAAGGGTATCGTGGAATATTAATGAGCGTCTCGGGAAATTGTTGTGTAATTTAAATCATATATTTGGGAAAATGCAAACGCGAACAATATGTCGTAAACATATTCAGTCGGCAAACAAATTAAAATTTCAAATTATTTAAAAATCAATATCGATATCTCTCCGCGAGAAATATCGTTAATCTCTCGGACGATAAAAAATATATATATTTTTTTTCACATATTCTTGGCGCGAATAAAACGGACCGTATCCCATTATTGCGGTATTTACTTTCTAGTTCAGCGAATCGACTTTTATCGCCAATTATTGCATGCTGATTAAGTCAGAGCGGCTTGCCGTTTAACGACGTTGCTCCACGACATCCGAGGATTATTTTTAGAAAGAACTTTCAACCCATTAATGGAAAATACTGTCGGAACATTATCGTTAATTAAATTCTCCGGGGATCCTTGTGCGGAAATTCGCTCCGCTAGTTAGTGTTAATTTATTAATTACGAAAAAGACGTGAAATCTATTCTGCTATTATAATAGCTCGTAATACGTCAAATATCTCGTTATCTATCATCGTTAAACCTTCATATATCTATCATTGACCGAAGATATATCAAAAACCGGTGCTGTGCAATTATCGGGCTTCGATACATCAAATTTAACTAAATCAATTCAAAATGGCCACCGAACGAGCCAATATGGAATATTCACCCGCTGCAACGTGCAACATTCCGATGCGCGCCCCGAAAGAGACGAGATTCGATATTCGTCGTTAATTCGTAAAATGTTTCACTTACTTTCTCACGTCGCTTCCTCACGTCCCTTCGCTCGAAAATTCGAACGAAACACTTGCCGCGACGCGTGCATGTTCAACGATCCCGTTACGCGCATTATTAAACTCGCGATCACGATGGCATTCAAGAGGCGTCCCGAACATTCATAAAGACGTGTCGCGAAGCAACAGCTCGCGAGCTACCTCGCATCCCCGCCTCGATGCACGTCGATTCCTTTCCGAGGATCTAATCGACGAGGCACGTAGCGAAAATCACATTCGGCACTGTGTCACGTCACCTGCCGCCGCGCCGCGTCGCGCCGCAACCGCAACGAAGTTGGCCGAGAAGCGCGAAAAAGCCGGCCGCGGCGCCATAAAAATTTTCAAACGCGGCGATTCTCCGTCAACCGCCCGCGTCGGAATCAAAAGTTGGCGGCTTCCGAGAACGTATATACGTACCGGCTCCGGGCTCCCAGGATCACGGGACGATCAATAATCGCGCGCGCGCGAGAGTTTCGAAACTGGAGCATCGCGCGCGTCCTCGCGAGACGATATCGGAGCCTCCTCGGCTCTCCCGGAGTCGGCGGAAGATCCGCGGGACGATTAGCCGCCCGCGCGCGAGGATCACGTGACCCCTTTTCGAAACGGTAAGCGAGTGTGTAATCGCGTAACGAACGGCGCGCGGCACTAGTGGCGGTTGGCGGTGGGAGCGGAGATATCGATCGGTTTACTCACCTCATTTTTCGCCGGTTCCGGGTCCAAGGGCAGCTTCCGGCTCCACCGCCTCACGAGATGACGGAGATGACGGAGATGACGCGCGGCGCGATCGACGATCCTCCTGCCGATGCTGTCGTCACGGCCGTCTTCCTACGCATCTCGATGCTGCGGAAACAACCGTGTGTGCGTACGTGCGTGTGCGTGCGTCGTACGACGAGACCCGTTTCTCGAAATTCGACCCGGTGACCGCGATTCTGCGCGACGTGCGAACGGCCGGACGGACGGACGGACAGACGACCAAGGTGAACGATCGGCGAGAGGCACAATGCCGCGCGAGCGCGAGAAGAACGCACTGGCGACTGGCGAGGAGAGAAGAGTTGATTACTTACTCGCGCGCGCGCGCGCGCCCGCGAAGCGACAGGGCGACGAGACAAACCGACCGCGCGCCGAACTCGAACTGACTGAACTGACTCGCTCACTCGCTGTACGACGACACGCGCCTCGCGCCCCTCTCGCCCTCTCTCTACGCTACCGGCTGCGCGCGCTTCGCTGCTCCGACTCCGACTGCTCCGAGCCGGACCCCCCACCACCCACCACCGGGGCTCTCCCCACTACGCACGCGCTTACAGGAGTTACAGGTGCGGTGAGCGGCGAAGAGCCGTCGCGCTGCCCGCGCGGGCCCCGCGCCCCTGCTCCGAGCGAATTCCGAGAAATACGTGCTTCGTGTAATTCCGAGTATCGAGGGGCCACACGGCGTTTTTTGTTGATGTTTTGAAACCGTATTGTCTCGCTCGCTGCTCGCGACTCGCGACTTGGCTGGCAAATACGAAAAATAACCGACGAAGAGAATATTCAGCGAGATATCCGGCACAGACGTTGAGACATTTACGACGTTTTAGCTAACGAAACGCGGAGAGAAATACACATTTTAATATTCGATAAACGGAAGAGATTTTCGGGCGTAAAAAGCAATTAAAGCATCTTGAGATCCGTGTCCATATATACCTAGAATAGATGTATCGCAATATCGTTTCTTTTTCCCTTCCTCCTTTTTCTCGAAATCTTTATCCCACGTTATCGAGGATAAACTTTCAGCCCAAGTGCCGCCGTAAAGATCTTTTTGAAACTCACGTACGTATTTTACGTATCACGGGTGTCTCGAGGCGTAGAAAGCGAATCTGCCCGAAAAGATGGTCGCTCTCATTCTGTCTCTCGCATATCGCGCTCGGGGGTCGGGGGAACGAAGATCCCTCGCGTCGCGTCGCGTCGGTTTGTTCGCAAAAGATTTACTATAAGTTCTGCGTAATAAACCACGCTTCATTAATGCTGCGGCAGACAGAATCGTCGCGACGCAAGGAATACTGTAAGTATGATTACTTTTTTTGGGAAAGATTTAGTTTTTTACCTCGCCACTCGCCACTCGCCACCTCGGTCACCTCGGAGTTGTAAAAGAGCCGACAAGATGGCTAAAGATTTCTCTCGTCGTGAATCGTGATACGTTAACGAGTTTTATTCGCCACTAATACAAGCCAATAGGAGCGCGCGTTACAAGTCGGCGTCGTTGACGAGCGAAGTTCGTTGCAGTTCGTTGTGAAGTTGCCGCGACTATTGCGTTGCGTACGTTCGTATACATACGTTGATCAATCGCAAGATTCTTCTCCTGCGATCCTGTCCGTCCTGTATATTACACGGCTAGTCACGGTATTATTAGCTTTATTACTCACGTCTTACGCTCGAAATACCTGAATATCTTAACGCGCAAAAGATTTATTAAAACTCCAACGCGCGCATTAATCCGATACGGCAGGTAAAATATATGTACATACGCGGCTTTGACTCGAGGCTCCACGCTGACACCGAAAGCTTCCGCGATGCAAGATGCAATGTTCTTTCTTTTTTCAGACGCAGCGAAGTTGCTTCGGCAGGGTTATCTTATCGCGAGCGATCTTCGCTAATGCATTCATCGTGTCGTGACACGTCGACACGGAAAATGAACCCCGAAGCGGCCGTGCGTTAAATCCATAAAAATCCATAAAAATCGTAAGTTTCTAACCTATATTAGCAACTTTGATCGCTCGTTGAATTTTTGTTTCAAGCAGGATCGCGTACGTCGCTCTGAACCAACGTGCTCTGGACAAGGCTCTGAACGATCGTATCGTTATGAAATTTTGTCAATAACAGAATTGCATCTCGTTATGCGGACGCACGTATGCGCGCGGAACGAACTTCGGGCCTACGTTCTTGCTTGTCGTTCACGTATTTCCGTATAATTTTGTTATTTATGGAAATTTCATTAAAGTAGCCCTCTCGTCATTATGGTACGATTGTATAATATCGCCGAAAGGCCCGGGCGCCAGGCGATAAGATAAGATAGTCAACGTATGCCGCATGTGTTGCATTACAATAAAAATTATCTGGTCAAAGCACTTTGCAAAACTGTGTGAAAGATATGCTACTAAATTATCGTGCCTCATTAAAGCGCGATACACAAGAAATATTTTTCACTCATTATAAAATTTAATTCATTGACATTATCGTGTTATCGATCGTTGACTGTTAATGAATTATAATGTAAATTCATGTCGCGCCGCGGTATTAAACCGATTATGAGAATTTCAACCGAACCTGTGGCTCGCGCGTAATTGCAAATTGCTGCTTCTTCCAATTATAAGCGGTTCTTACGATTCTGCGGTCAATTTGTCGGACACATCGGTATAGCCGTTTGTCACGCGGCGCAAAATTAATTTAAATGCGACACATACAACGCTGTCGCAAAGGCGGCATGTACGTGTCGATTCTCGGACATTTAACATCTGTCCACTCCATGCATATGCACGCGTGCTTTATACGCACCTACATATGCAAATCCACGTGTTTATCTCTTCGCGGTGTCCACTTGAAACCGCGGGCGAATAACCGGGGCTATACAACTTGTGACAGTAACCAAACGGACGCTTCCGCGTGTTTCATTTCGAATACCTATTTACGGAAATTTCTATAATTACATTCCTAATCACATCACGGAGAATATGAAGGTAGTTATATAATAGATAGATCTATTATAATCTATTATAATCAACTGTCTTTAATCTTCTAGAAGGTGATTATAATAGATTACGTCGACAGACAGAGAGCTTTATCTCTCTTCTAAGATTATTGCAGAAATAACATTTAATAAAGGAGGATTTTTTTTTATAAATTCGCGCAATCGTTCCTTGCAACGCGAATGTATTTGAGCTTTCTCGACGTGTTTTACCACGATGAGCGTGTTTCTCCGCGAGCGTCCGTCTTTCTAACGTGCATATTTTTAAATTCAAATGAGATCTAGCCACGAGGTTAAGTCTCCGCGTGCCGTCTAAACCCGCACGCGGAAACGTCGTGTTTAACCGCTGCCGTGGCTAATCGGCGCGCGACGTGCCGCGATTGTCTCAACCCCGTAGTTACCCCCGATTCACGTTCGCATTCTCGGGACTCGGCACCAGTTCGAGTTCGAGCACAGCTGAGCCGACGCTCGCGGCTCGACGCGAATGCATCGATTTCTCCCTCGTTCCCGTTGCGCCGGGAACGAGGGAATCGTTTTGCGACCCCCCCGTGTGCAGACGCGTGCATCACGGCTCCACCAACGCCGGGCACTTGCCAGCATCCCTTCCCATCCGAACTCGATTCCGCGTGCTTCGTCAAGCGGAAGAGTTAAAATGGGCGTCGTTCTTCCGAAAACGTTGGCAACAAAAGGAACCGTTCGCGTCTCTGACGCAAAAGAGATCGTCGGTAAAGAGATAATTAAAAAAAGACAATTTTTATTATTTTTCGTGCCGCTTCCGTTAAATGACAACGATTAGTCTGAAAAGTTAAGTAGAAAGAAGTAAGTTTTTATTGAAAATAAAAATGTCCTCTCTTTTAAAACGCGAATAGTAGATCTGAAATTTATCATATTTCTCGTAAGATTTTGATGCGAGGTTGATTTGATATAAATTCAGCACATAATTAATGTACAATTGTTAGAGTAGTCTCGTAAGAATTTAATGCAGAATAAACTTTCGTAGAAATTTATTAAGAAATTAATTTTGTGAGAAATATATTTTACTGGTGCATCATTCGTAGGATTATGCAACGATTGAAATTTTCTGTCATAAATTTCGTGATCGCGTTTTTGTCTTGGAAAAAAGGGAGAGATCGTTTTTCATCGGAAAGGAGGATAGGATCAAAAAATTCGGGGTCAAGTTCAGTCTGCATGAATGATGGACCGAAAGATGCCGCAGGTAAACGTCGCCGATAGCCGGCGACGTTAACGACTGCAGCAGGACTGGTTTATCAAGATTTCACGGTCTTTCGTACAGGTAGTCCCCTGCAGGACATACGCGAGCAGCAGCAAGGATGAAAGAAATCGAACGGATCGAGTGCTCGGTTGTGAACCCATCATTGAAACTGATCGCTCTACGCGGGAGGTATGCCGCTCCTTGCATCTTATTCATGAATGATCATCTACTTCTGAACACCGCGCGTCTTCAATAGCCCACCTGTGGGCTCGAAATAACACTGTGAAATCGTAAGTACGAATCGTAACTGTGAATCTCGAAGCGCATTGTTTTTTGAACTAAGGGCAATATTTTTAGCCTGATATTATACTTTAAGCTTGATCTTAAATTTAAATTTATAAATACTATTCTAAATGTATTAGACTAATGGGGGGGAAAATTTCGGATCTGTAGTTAATAATTTTTGAAAGAGACGCTATCTCTAATGCTGTCTCTAACTGAGATGTGTTAAAAAATCATATTCTCCTAATTTTGAAAAATTAATATATTTTTGAACAGTAAATATGTCATTAACAATTAAAATCAAAGATTTGAAAGAGATTTACCGTCTTTGTCGCCTTATCCGAATTTCAAGTAGAATTTAATATCAAAATATTCTTGTTTTTGTTTTTTCAAGTAAAGTTGTTATAACTTTTTATATTCTTTAAACTTTTATTACTATGTTAGTTGTACTATTTAAAGCCACTTTAGTAATTTAGAATTTCGTGTACTTAGGAGACCGTACCCTGAATTCCGAATGACCCTTGATGTTATTTCTTGCTTGCAAGAAGATATCTCGGTAGCTTTTCTATCGAGAGGGTCGCCAGAAAAGTAAAATATTTAAGTTCTATTGAAAGTTTTATGCTTCTCATTCTGAACTCGTCAGGGACTTTTATGAGAGTAACTCTCAGATAATAAAACTTTTAAGTTTAAACACAGAGGAATCTGTTGCAACTCTTATTGCAAATAGATTTTGTAGTTAAAATAAATATTAATTCCCTTTATATCGTTTTGTACAAATTTTTATATGTGACTAAGAATTAATTAGTATTTAAATTTAATTAAAAATTTAATTAGAAAGTATTTAGCAGAATCTTTAAGCTGACACTTTTTCTGTCGGTATTGTTATAGTATGTCTTCTCAATAAGCCATTATATTTCATATAAAATAAAATTTCGTTGAAATTATGGTATTTGAATATCCTTGGCAACTTAAGAGAAAATTCTGCTTTAATATTGCAATTTTATTGAAATTGGATTTAGATTTAAATTGAACGAATGACCTTAACGTGTACGTCACTCATTTTGAGATCGATCATGATTGTACAGTATGACGTAGGGAAAGGGTCAGGCGGTAGTATTGTAGGGTACGACAGGAAACCGAAATTGATATTCGGTCCTCTCATTCGTCTTGTCATGTTTCTCTTTATAGGTATTCAAGTCCCAGGAGAGAAAAGAGCATGGTTCCCTTCGAGTCCTTCATTCACTGTCTTGCTGATCTCGTACCATCTGGTCCTCCACCTGTGCCCAGCCAACTGTTTCTTTGCCAGTGCAACCAGAGCAAGTCCGGTTTCAATCTCGGACCTCTTTCAGCATTTTATCTCACAACGACAAGGTAAGGTAGCGAGTAAGGTAATATCGGTGTATGTGTAAAGACGTCCATGTGTCGTCCGTTGTTTTATACAAGACAAAATTTCGCACTTTGATATCAAACAATCGAAGGCCTGAGTGTGAGAGTCATTGACTCCTTTTGATAAGAAAATGTTGACGAACGATTACACAAAGATTTCTAGATGTGAATATAAATATTCAATGCACTTTTATTTTACAATCAGCCTTTTTAAGCCATCAAGAGATCAGAATTTGCAATGTAATAATTTTTCAATTTTTTATAAAAGGTTTTTTATAAAAGATTCCACAAGTGACAGACTTTTTTTCACAGATTATAGGAAGATAAATTTGAAATTTAATGTAACGCTAAAAACGTCGTGCTTAATCATAAAATAATAATTAAACATTAGCTATATATTGCTTCCTCTTTTGTGCGTACTTCGTAGAGTTCATACAATTGCAAATTACCTTTACAAATTAATTGAACATAAATAAATAAACCTTTTAGCTTTTTGTCGGGATATCCATTATTGCAATATTGCATTACAATTTCGTGTTATGCAAACTTTGAACTTCCCTATGATCGTTTTTAAGACAAGAGAGTAAAAGACAACAAAGTAAATTTCCGCTGTGTTGTTCTGAAAGACTTATAACTGTTATATTTTAATAATAAAAAAGTTCTTAGTTATATAGCATACTACTTAAACATTATTAGAAGCATATCTCTGCGCAGAGTATGAATCTTAAAAAGTGCTTTTATATTTAAAAATTGATAAATAAATAAATCCTTAGTCTTTCCTAGCTTTCATATATACTATATTCGTAAAGTTTCCAATATAAAAATATTACAATAAAGAAAAAAAATATAAGTGGTTCCGGCCGGGATCGAACTGGCGACCTTCTGCGTGTAAAGCAGACGTGATAACCGCTACACCACGGAACCTCAGTGACTTCCATTGATCGTTGCGTCGATGACTAGGAACCCAATTTTAATATACAATTTTTATTCTTATATAATCCCGTTACCTAATACGAATTTATTTAGTTAAATGAAATATAATTATTTAAGGGTTATAAGTAACAAAATTATTTCTATTTTATTAATTTACACGTTATTTGTACTCGATTGATAAATCACGTGGCTTTGTCTCGTGTCGTACAGATGGCAACTGCGATCTATACGTATATACGTCAAATGTGAATTATTAAATTTTATATAATTTTTCGATTTTATATCTTTTCCTCTATTTAATTTTATATTTGATTTGAACATCGGCACTATAATTTATTTACGATTTTAAAAATGTAATAAGAGGAATAAAGGGGGGCATTTTTAATAACTTATTTTATTAATAACTTATATTAATTTTATTTTATATTTTAATATAAATTGTCACCAAGTGCACTTGTCCTGCTTTTTTTATATTTATATAGCAGAATAGAAATTAGATTTTATAATATAAATTTACAGGATTTTTCTATACATTAAATTATACATATATATATATATATAAATCATCTTTCTTACACATTAAAATTTTACAATTATCTTTTAAACAATTACTATTTTTTAATCAAATTAAATAAGTATTTTTATTACAAATGTGTATACGACTTAGTGGATTGGTACTAACTACAAGAATTTCGATTTTATCGGTAATATATATAAAAGTGTGTTAGACATATTTGTCATATTAGATCACATCTAATGTGATGAATATGTAATCACAAATATATGGCACGTATAAATAATTATTACATAAAAATCTATATTCATTATATCTTACAATTAAGTATTCCTTAAAGTTGATAAACCATGTATTACATGAAAAGTTCATCATGACACAAGAGTCCTCGGTAGTATAGTGGTTAGTATCCCCGCCTGTCACGCGGGAGACCGGGGTTCGATTCCCCGCCGGGGAGATTTTTTTTTTCTCTTGTACTATAATTATGCAACAGTTACCTTTGACTTTTAACTATATAATAATTTATTTAATAACATGTACGTTGATAAACTATTTTCTTTAGGGAAAAATTAAATCAGCACAAAGATATCTAGTACTTGTAATTAAAAATTTTGCAGTTGTATATAACGTTTCCAAAAAATTTTATTGTTAAGAAGAGCAATTTTTTAAATTTAGAGAACGATTTGTCATTAAAGAAAATGTAATATGTAAAACTGGAACATCTCATGAATGTGTTCAATATTATAATATTTAATTCAGAATCCTTTGTCATTTATATGAAAAAAGAATAATATTCTGTAAATAGCAGAATTGTGATTTATATCATTTAATTACACGAAGTATATCTTATAATTTATTTTTGCAGAAGGTTTACAATCTTGTCTTATAGAAAATATAATACGTTATACGTATAATAGACAAACTGAAAAATAAATATGTTGAATTGAAGTGTCTATAGCTACTATTGTATATAGGAAAATGACAATTTACAGCTGTCAGTGTACCGAAGATAACATATTTGTTGTAGGAATAGGTATACTACATAAAGACATACGCTTATACAAGCTACATTTGCACTAGGCACACATTTATACAATCATAATCACACAAATAAATCGATCCTTTAATAGGAACGAATTAATTCAATCAATAATACATACAATAATATATAATAGTAATTATATATTATACTAATATGCTATAATATGTTATAAATATCGACACAATATACACACCACAATTATATTTATAATTATTCTACGTTTCTCGATTTTCTGATTCTTTTCTTGATTCTATGTTTCTTGATTGGTTACGATATATTCTATCTATAATTACGAATTAACACTTTGAGGAACATTATTTTTTAAGTAAAACTATCTCATTTTGATATACAATTAAAAAGAGAGAGCATTAATATTTTTTTAATATTAATAATATTTTTTGTGGAAATATCTTTCTAATCTCCACAATGGATACCACTCAATTACGTAATACAAAAGCAGAAGGATGGTATAATTATAAAATATAAATGATGAATATAAATATCGAATAATTATCGAAGCTTGAATTAGGTCCGTTATTGTGCTGCTATGAGGTGAGCGTAAAAAACATCGCGAAAAATCAATGCGCAATATTTAAATAAATTAAGTTAATAATCAGTTAATGAGACTCTCGTTCCTTGACGATCGAATATAAATGTTTTAAAAGGATAAATATACATTTTTTAGCTCTGTTACTGTTAAGCCGATCATAATTTTAACGTATTTTTTAATTTGACGAGACAGCGAATTTTGCAGCTTAGTCTGATATAGCATGAAATTAAATTAATACACTTCGTTTCATTTAGCGCTTTCTCTTTTTATGGCCATGGAGAGGCAAACAGCAAGGATTATACCGGCAATCTGTAAAAAGAAAAACATTTTTTAAAATATCACCACAGTAACTTGAACGAATTTAAATACAATTTACATTTTTGTTACAATGAAGAGTTATATAATTCTTAAATCGAAAAGTTTCTTTCGTGTTTATTTATCTTTGCTTATTATGTGTTTTATTTAAAACCTGTTTAGCTTTACCGCAATAGAATAAAGTAAAGTGCGGACATGGCACTTAACGTATCCATGTAATTAAAATATCTTGTAAACTAAGTTTTACTCGCCTCCACAAAAGCAATTCCGATGCCCACACCGATCATGACTGTGGCGCCATTCTGAACTCGCATTTCTAACTTGCTGAAGCATCCTTCATTATATGCATTAGATATCTGACATATCTTTTGCATATCATCAGCGCAACAGGACGGCGGGATTTGTCCAATAGTGGGGGTTTGAATCCAATCTCTGGGACCGTCCACGCCGCAACATTGTAGCTGTCGCATGAACAAATAAAATTATCAATGTATTAATCAAACTTAACCAATTTGTAAAAAATTAAACAATTTAATGCTTAATTTAAATAAGTCAATAATGAATTCTTTTTTTTTGTCATTTTTCTCGGCACCAATGCAAGGTAAAATAGTTAATCACGCTAATTTGATTATATAATATACATTTTACAAAACTACCTTTGTGTCAAAATAGGGTAAAGTAATTTAAGATATAGAACTGTATACGACAGTCAATGTTAGAGTAGTCAATGCACTTGTAATACTGAAATGACTTTAATTGCCTATTTGCACGCGATGACTATTTCAAGTGACCTAACCCATCACCATTATAGAAATCATTGTTTTCTTAATAGGACGGAAGCTATACTATTTCATCACCTCACTTTTGTATCGACAAATCCATTACTATGTTACGCTCCAGATTCAGTATACTGACCTTTTTCTGCACGTTATCCCAAGCTTGCTTGTCGACTTCCATCGTATAGTTCTTCATCGATTCCTTCAGGGTACTCTTCATCGCCATGCTAAAATCATTTTTAAACACTGCCGCCGCTATGCCCACCGCAAGCTCGATCACGAAGATTATTAACAATGCGGCCGCAAACTAAATTATGTTTAATATTAATATAATTAATTAAAAATTGCATATAATTGTAATTTATAATTATTTATTGATTTCATCGTAAAAAAGATGTATTTAAAACAGAACGAAATGAAGATAAAGTGGTTTGAAATCACACATGTACAGTTTGATATTTGATATTAAATATGCGCGAAACGTTCTGGAAACCTCCGATCTTTAATTTTACTTAGGTTTTTCAAAAATTTTATTTTAGATAAATTCAAGTACATAAAATAATCCAAGATTTTGTTATTAAGGTCAATGTCAGAATTTTAGAATATATTTTGAGGAAAGCAAACTTTCATAGATAAGCGGTTTATATTACCGTAAAAAAATTAAACTTTTAATTATTTCTATTATTTCGATAAATATTTAACATAAATTAAATTTTGTACTCAAACTGTTTAATTATTCTGTTGATTTCTTAACTTACCGCAATCAACATGTTGTAATGCTCCTTTATTGCTCCGTAACATCCTAGAAAAGCTATGATGAAAACGATAGATCCTGCAACTATAAGCACTATAGGCGGTGCCATTATCCTGCCTTCCACGAAGTGATTAAATTCGCCGACATCTGCCAACACCAACGCGCCGGCCACAATAATACCTATGCCAGATATCTGGAAAAATCAATTTTAGCAATTGTACGTATTTTTCTTCGCCCTCGAAATTGTCCTTCGCACTATCTTGATTTTTCCAAAAGTAAAAATAAAACGAGTAGAATTAAATTTAAATAGAAACTTATATACATATACATATTTATAAAGGCACATTTTTTAATAAATATTTTACGAAAATAGTTTTTATTAATTGATTAAAAAAAAGGAAGAAATAAATTATATTAAGTAAAGTGCAATCTTCCAGAAAATTATACTATAATTTAAAAAACACGTTTCACAAATAACCGAATCTTTTTGCGCGCCACTTTTGTATCTGAAAGTATCTTGGATACTTCCTCAGAAAAATCCATAAAAATCGGGTATATCCGCAAAACCTCAGAAAAATTAAAACGTAAAGAATAAAAAAAAGATATTTATTATTTGAATCACTTTAGAGAGAAACACGCTTGCCGCCAATACTATTTTCTCAAAACCATTATCGCTTCCAATTCAGTTTACTCACCGCGAAAATCATATTAAAGATGAAAAGGATGTATTTGATGACGTTCATTCCGCAGGACTCCATGATGTATCTATCTATCGTTAAAATTGATTAAACTTTATTACTTTGATTTTATTACTCCGAAACGACAATTTGCGGGGACTTAAAAAGTCAGACACATAGTCAATCGGCTTGTGTTTCGTGCGACGGCCGTACGCTCAATGGGAGCGATTTAGGTGGTGCGCTCTTGTTTGAGCCTACAGGGAAGGTTTCGATCGAAATCCTCGGCCTCGAGGCCGCCGGCACGAAGGTAGTCAGGCGGGAATATAGTTTCCAGGTCGAAGTCCTGCGTTAGAGATTCGTTATTGGTCAGCGTTCTGGCCGTTTGGATGGCCGTCGATGGTAACCATAGTCACTTGTTCTCCGCCGTCAACCCAAACGAATTCTTAGAAGTCTTAAAAAATACACCAATGATACAATGCAGTGTTTACGAACGTAACTTTCCTTGTCAAAAGCGTCCTACGGTCAAACCACCCTCCGCTTCGAATTGCGGTGTTCTCTTTTATTTATAACTAGCTGAGACCATCAATCTGGTAGCACTCAATTTATTCGTTCCCATCATAACATCTTCAAATTTGCTTGAAATTAACTGCAATTCTAGAAATTAATCTACGAGAAAATTTCCTCAGCGGACTTGATTTTATGGCAATCAGATGAACTTTGCAGGTTGACAAGACGTTAATTGCCTCTGTTGAGTCTCCATATTTGTGACTAAACTAATTAAATATTGGTAGCTTTTTTTATTAAACTTCTTTGGGCGTAGACGTAATAAAGGATTCGTTTTTTTTTTAGATTTTATATTAACAAAAGGTGCTAGTATTGGATAATTTAAAGCAATAACATTATTTTCAAAAATTGATGCTTTAATTAATATTTGGCTACGTTACGCAATTGATTAATCAAAGGCAGTTTGTACTGCCTAAAGAAACATTTTATATGTTCTCTTTTTTGTATTTATCTCATTTAATCACAAAATTTTGTTAATGTAATCTTTTTCATACAAATGATGATACTGCATATGCAGTATCATCTCATTCAATTTATGAAATGGTAAAATGTTATTCCATTGAACACTTCAATTACATTACATTATCCAAATGCATTATTTCACGCTGCATTGCGAGCGAAGCGTTCTCGATGGACGAACGCAATCCGCCATAATTTTATCGAAGATCAGGCAAACCGCGCGTGAGCATCGCGTTAAACGATTGCCGCTCGCAGTTCAATAATGTCACATTATTTACATATGTCCGGTATAGAACGTACAAAGTAGGTCACAGGCAACTTTACAAGCAAGCCGACCAGTTTTCGTTTTCGCGATTCAATCCATTCGATAAGCATTTGCGTAGTACGTTTCTTCAGTATCAACTTCTAGAAAAATTCGAGCGGTTCGTTTCTCGCATGCAGTTGGGATTCGCGCAAATTCGCCATTTCGTGCCGTGCTATGGATACGTATATGGGTTAATGAGGACATGGTAAATATAGTTATCGCGCTCATTCCACTGGTGGCTGCACCTGCACGTAATGCTACATGCATAATGATAACACGCCACGATTTAAAGTTCAGTGCTGCACGACTGAAACATCTTTTCTACTCTGCTCGTCGTGCAATGTACTCCGTATTCGCTCGGTATTTACGCAATAAAGTCTATAAAGTACGTCAATATTGATACTAATAAATAGTAACTTAATAATTTAGTAATAAACAATTTTACAATTAGGTTTTAGGCAAATCGTAATAACAGACAACAAGATGATCTTTACATTAACCAAGAATTTTATTTCAACAAATATAACTTTGTTATATAAGCTAGCGTTCACAATAAAGAAACATCAATTGAAAAAAATTGTACACAGAAAAAAATTTGTGATTTAATTAATTAATGTGTCTGCATTTTAAAAATCGAAGAATATAATTGTAAACAAAAATGTAGCTGTATACTAGCCTAGGTTTACCCTGCAAAAGTGCGCGTTACGAATACAAAGAAATCATAGCATCATACTATATTAAAGATACAAATAATGAAACTGACTATATCGTAAACAACACTTACAAGTTGACCAATTATATTCGATGTAATTCTTAATTAACTAATTAAGTAGATGCAATATATATTGCAAATTGTAATATGTAATTCACAATATATAGATATATATTTGACGCACATTAGACGCGTTTTAAACAAATTATTTTTCATTCAGACTTATGGTGAATTAAGTATTTCTAAATAATATTAATATTGCACAATATATAAATATATTTAGTATGAAAATTTTCGTTGTATCGTTATTTAAGTTAAACAACTGATCTTTTAGTCGGTATTAATTTGAGCAGATAGTTTGACGTTTTACAGATACTCGTACATTGTAAATATAATTAAAATCGAACTACTCGTCACTGACGAGTCGTCCAGTCGTCAGTTTATTCCAATGAGATTTATAGTAATTGGCCGGTAAGTCACATTTACATCAAAATAACGATCGCTAACATAACATAACGCTACTCCGCGATGCTCTATAACTGATTAAAATTTTGTCGACTGCTAATATTGTTGACGAATAATCGATGGTCACAGCTCTCGTTGTTCGTCAGTTCAAGATGTAAATGCAAATGCAATTTACTTATCTTTGAACAAGACACGAAATTACTTGGAGCTCCCGCGGGATCGTTAGAACTTGAGATGTTGATAAGTGGCGATGAGGAAGAATATCACAAGGGTCGATACGCTCGGTGTAGTAAATGAGCCATGAGAACTCCACTTGGCGTACGGTGGCGACCTAGAAGCAACAACATTGAAGAAATCGATAATTGTATTCGTAATTGAATTGTGCAACATCACGTAAAGTACCCGACGTTATTACAGGTATTTCCGGAAGTCACAAAATAAATAAAATAACGCAGTTTTGTGAGGTGAGTTGCGTGCATCACCTGCCACGGATCTAATTACGTGCAAAATGCAATAATGCACATACGCCGAGACCTGAGATTTGTATCTATATTTAAATGAAATGCAGTCTACGTTTCGATGCATTGCATAAATCTGAATTCCAAATTGCACATAAATCATATCGCGATTGTGTTGCGGTAGTCAGAAGCAAACAAATATCGCAAGCATTCTTGAAAACATTAATATTTATTGGTGTTACTAAAACAACAAATATATCAGCGACGACATACAACAAAAGTAAGCACATAAAATACAGTAAAAATGTCGGTGCGACTAGACTCTATGCTAAACAATATAATGCGTAGAGATTTATCAAAGAATTTTTTAGAAAAAATTTATATTTTAATTCTAATAATAATATATCTGTATAGTGATTTTTTTATTATACTTTGAAAGAGAGAGAGAGAGAGAGAGAGAGAAAATATATTAACAACTTTTGCGATTAATATAAGATGCGATATTTATGACACTTATTATATACGGTCGTCCTGATATTACTTTTGAATAATTATTATGGAAAACGGTGATATTAACTTTTCGGACTTTATTTGTATTTCATAGAGGAAGCTCGTAAATTATCAAAGTATTATCACCGTGCCAGTTTATTAGCGTGGAAACATAGTCTGAGAAAAACAGAGATTAACCGGCTCTCTTAACTGCGAAAGTGTATAATACGCGCATATCGTTTAAATCTAAACGTGCATGATCGTGAAATAATTCATAGAGGAGCATTCTCATTGCGCTTACAGCATATGTATATTTTGTTTAAAATATTTATATTTCCCTCATGGTAACACAAAAAAACGATCGGACAGAATAAATGTAAGGAAGAATATATCAGGGAAACATAGAGGAACAAAACAAATTGTTAAAGTATCATCAACAGTTTACATACAAAAGATAGACACACTACGAGTCAACAGTCAGAGAGAAAATTACATTACATTTACATAGGGCACATGTCGTTCCTACTAATTCTACGTCTATTTCTTAGTTTTTATTACAAATAATAAAATTCTTTTACAAATCACATAAAATGTATAATACGACACAAAGCATTTTACAGAGGAAGAATCGTATAGGAAGCAACAATTCAACAATATTGGTTCAATCCTAATCAAGGTGAATTTCTAGTCAAATCTACAAAGTGATATCGATCCTTTTTGTTTCTCCTTCGTTGACCGTTGACATTTTCCTTGGAAGTACCTCAGATTTTTCTGTAATGTGCAGAATACAATGTGGTGCGGCTGTTTATTTTCGCTTTTGATAATTTTTGTGAAAAAACGCGAGGACTATTGATATTATATAAATAATATTATAATATCATAATTATAATAATGTAATAATATAAAAGAGGTATTACATTATGTAGGTATAATTATATTAACATTATCCTTTCGGAAGTGGCGCGCGGTCTGTGAGACCGCACCAATAATTTTTCTTTTGTAATTTTGTTATTAAAATATCTCGTTCTTTAAGACCTTTTGTATTTCCGGGGGCGGGGGTGACGTGTTCGTCAGTCTACCGTCAATGCATCGCCGTTGCATCGCATGCGTATTCTCCAATTACCGTCCCATTAACCATGCGGTGTTATATAAGGCCTCACCCTCACGCTCACGCCATAAAATATATTTACGGATCCTAAAATTTATGTTTTAGTATGATTATTGTGTGTGTGTGTGTGTGTGTGTGTGTGTGTGTGTATGTGTGTGTGTGCTATTTCATTATTTTTGCTATTTTAAATGTTTATTGTAGTTATTAGTAATAGCAAAGGAAAGAAAAATATTTTTGTGTTTTTCGTTATAAAAATTTGATTTTTGTTCCTAAATAAGAAAATAAAAGAAGAGCTATTGTAAAAAATTGATCAAAAATATTATTAACATATGGAAACTTGAGTATTCTTTATTATTTTACAAAGTTAAGATATCTCTCTTTAAAAATAAAAAATTAGAAAATAAAATTTTTATTTTACTTTTTGTTATATATATTTGCAGTCCCATAGACCGCGCGCCACTGCTTATGTGCTGCCAGGGGATCCACTTTCGAAAGGTTATAAATATATGAGCGATTTTATAAACGGCTTTAGAAGATCGTTTTCCAAACTAAATAAATATATTTTTTATCGGTAGTTGTAATAATCTTGTCTAACATCTACCTACTACGCTTACACAACAAAGTTAGGACGTACGTGAACATTTAGCGACAAATAAGCAACAAGCAAATAAAAGTAAAGAATCTTATCCTATATCTTTTTACCGGAAATCTGAAAATAATTGCATTATGAATGATATACGTTACATGAAGAAAACTACAAGTTTTATGTCCTGTGAATATAGAAACACGTGAATACTAAAAATCATATGAAAAATTGATATTGCAAGGCGTAAACAATGAGAAAAACATATATTCATAAATCGATAACCTACTCGATGCCAACGACACCACAGGCCCAACGATCGCCAGAATTTCCGGTTGTCGAAGAGAGAGAGTTATTTCCTTTGCCAAGATCGTCCTCGCCGGAGTGTACAACTATAGACCGTCCCAGGATGCTGTTCGATCCTCTCAGCGAGATAATGTTGTCAGTGATATTTATTGTCGCTTCTCCCGCAGAATTGGCCTGGATATTTCCTAGATCGCCGACATGTCGGACAGTATCTTCCGGGGCGCCGTGAGTGACCTAACGAGTTAATAGTATATAGCCGAAAAAGTAAGTCGATGAAAGACTATCATAAGGCAGAAAAGCCAAACATTAATGGTCTTTATCATAAAATACAAAAGACGAAAGATAGAATTTTATCAAAAGTGAAAATTGTCCAAAGAAGAAGTAGTAATATATATAGTAACACATATAGTTAATATAAATTAATTATTATCCATAGCAATTAAAAAGAATCGATTGCTGTGGGAGCTCACATTCTCAGGGTTGAAGTGCGCTCCCGCAGATGTGCAACCCATGCTCAAATCTCCCTTCTCGTGCACGTGGAAACCGTGTGGCCCCTCTGTGAGTCCATAGATCTTGCCGGTGATAGTAACAGGTCCATCCAGAGGAGTCTGAACGATCTTCAAATTACCCGTGACATTTCTCACGGAGGAAAATGATGTCAGGCGAACGACCGCTATCAATTCCTAATCGAGTCGATTCGATACGATCAGTATAATTACAAAAAATAACAGCTAGTGCTTTCGAAAAATAGTACGAAGTTTTAATCAAAGCAAAATTTTTTTAAGGAAAAAATTAATTAGACATTATTTTGTCAAAGATTTATATCTTTTTTAAGATCTTTGATTTTTTATGTTAAATATTCTGGGAATTAAAAATTGAACGAAAATTCTGTTAAAGTAAGGAAATGAAAAAAATAAAATTACATATATTCTTCTGCTTGTCCTAATAACATTAATTACAACTTTTAAAATATTTTTCAATAAAATATACTTTTTTTTATGACAATTTTAATTTGGTTAAGGGATTTGTAAATGAAATTTTTGACTTTAAGAGCGCACTAGATATTCTGCAATTCACTCATTATATTACAATCTCTATGAATGTCACGTAATGACTGCTGTCCAATTTGGAACTATGTCATATTATCAATTACAATCAACGCTCGTCACGGTAATAATTCATTATACATTATAATGCATTGGAAAATCGATTGATAGTTTATTTATTATTGCGGAAATGGATTAATACGTGCAATATTCGGATTATCGTATTACGTACCTCTTCTGCCTGTGTAGCTGTAACAGCTATTACAGCTGCAAATAGTAACACAACCATTCGACTCATCGTGCGTATTGGGCTGTAAATATAATAACAGAAAACTGATGACATATCAATATAACGTACATAATATCTTTTTGCTATCTTTTGCTCTTGTTTTTTATACATTTTATCTGAAATTGTCGCTATCTTTTAAAACGTCACAATTACTACTAAATGTTGCAATAATAACTTGAAACTTTGTAGTAAAAAAATACTTCCTTATTGTCAGCATAAAACAGTATAAGAGATATGAATATACACTCTAAAAAAAAGTACGTTTACAATATTTTATACATCGCCTTTATGAAGTGTATATTTTCTTATAACAAATATAATTTTAATGAAAAATGCAGCATTTCGTTATGGCGAATACACGATTTACAGTTTATAAAAGAAGATATATAGATGCTCAAAACAATCTTAAAAATTGTATTCAGGTAACCAAATAACTGATTATGAAATATCCATTAAGAAAAGATTGGCAATTTTCGACTATGGATTGAGATCCATTTGCGCATGCCTCACGTACAGAAATATAATTTAATCGATCTAGAGGCCGGTCAGATGAACCGATTAATATTAACAGTAGCCTCGCACGTAAAGGATAGTAATCGATAATCCGTGCGACGCAGTTTTTGAAGCGTGGCCGTGTCGCGCGATTTAGGAAAGCACACATAATTCCTACAAAAAGTAACGTAGGTAAATTAAAATGAATGTGTTGACCAGGTGAGGGCAAATTTACTTTCACATCACTTTATATTATTGAGGAATATTACGATCGGTCAATCATATGAAATTAGCGAACTATTTATTTCCCCCTATTACACGTATGTCAGATGTATACATATGTACAATCTATTTTTTATTATTAGTCGAAGCTGTTAGATGACCTTCGTGATACGCACGAACTACATTCTGATGTCATAGGTACATGAGTTTCTTGGTATGTGTGCTCGAGGTTAATTAAAAAGATTATGTAATTTTAAGAAATTCTACAAATCGTACGCCCATGCCAAGTTAAATATTGAGTTGAATATCTCAGATTTGCATTATTTTTTATCCAGACATTAATAACATTATAATGTACTGAAGATAGAGCGTAACGTCATCGCATATTATTCAGGATAATTATTAATCATTATAGAATTTATTATTTTTGTGTGACTAATTATAATTAGCTTACGCAAAATGCAAGAGCCACAAAATTATGTAAATTTATGTAAAGCTATAAGGCAACATTATCGTGTGGCTGACGCAGAGTCATCGGATATTCCAGGTTCTTATATATATATACTTAATTTCAATATAACTTTCCTTCTTGTTATTATCTCGTTGATAGAGAATATTTATATTTCTTACCCATACCCCTATTTATTTTATTGTTGATCTTATGCCGCTTTCATGAAATCTGTATCTATATTAGCAGAAATTATCATTTTTTTTCTTACTTTGTTTTGTAAGGAAAATATAACTTTCCTTGTTAGTACATTATAAAATACTTGACGTTTCAAGTTGTTTATCAATTTGCATATTTCTTTTCACACCCAATCTTTATAGAATACAAGCGCAAGTTTATTGGAGATTTTCTTGTCATTTTTTATGTGATTGGCTTCAATAAGAACACTTTTCTTATCATCATTATTTTGCTCGCATTTTATAAAATACAAACATTCTGGGTATTTTATCATTTTTATCGTATTTCTTCTACGTACTTCACCTTTCTCATTACCTCACCTTTCTTCACTTCGATATAAGTATATATATTTATTGGAAAGGTTCTTATTAATATTATATTAGCATAAGACGCTACTGGTACTTTGCCTCTCGAGAGCATTTCACAAAGCAGAATAGATTTCCTATCAATTTCGAGATGTATTACTTTCTTAGTTGTTATTGTTTCGAAATTATCGCTATAATTATTGCGATATTATAAAAAACTGATTATTTATCTCGTATATATTATTATTACAAAAATTATGATTATTCCGATTTGCTGGCGCTTTGCGAAATGTGTGCGTGCAAACGCCAGCTGGAAAGTTCACGGTCCAAGGAGTAACAGCTCAGTCCGGTGCGAGTGCGAGTCAATTCAATAATACGTGTCGCAGAATTTCTTTCGTGACCAGATACCGCGAGAGGTGGGCAAAAGCACCGTGAACTCGGGAAACGTGGAGCAAAGAGCTTCCAAGGAAATATCGATTCATGGCGAAAGGTGTTCGTTCACAACACCTGCGCGACTTCATCGATCAGTGTTATTCATGCGTTTTAACGTAAGCACCGCGCGAATTGATGGCGCGTTTCGCGGACACCAAGCGAATACATAGTACATACACACAGCGATGTATTTCTATTTCCATCATGGGACCGGCTTTACACGTCATGCACACTCCGACACGACGTATCCATCGGCTGTTTCTATATTGTGTTAGATTAATCAGGACTTATGCGAACGTCTTGTTACATTCCCACATTTCCCAGAATTAAACGTAATAAGTTGAAAAGACTTTACAGCGCAAATAGCGCAATTTCAAGACGGTATTAAATATATGTATACAATCTAGCAGAGGTTTAAGAGGATAAGCTTGCAATTTAAGAAATAAAAAGGGTTGAGAATAAAATATTAGCCCTTGATTCGAAACAATTCCAAATAAATTAATAATGGGAATTTACTTTCAGGAACCTGAAATAAGATTTATTTTTTTACATTATATAATTTTTATATAATATTTTATAAATATAATTATATATTTTATAATTTTTATATTATTAATAGAAAAATGCGATAAAGAAATAGTAATGTACAGATTTACAGAACATTTTCAAAGAATATACTGATATATTTTTCTTTTTTCCATGATTAATCGGAAACTTTCCGTTAATGAAAAATGTTACAGCGAATTAAAAGCTCATAAAGATTTAATTTAAGCCGTTATCTCTCTCGAACATTAAACTCCAATAAACGGTGCAATTGACCACGTAATTACTGAATTTAACATTAGCGTATCTACATCGCGTGCATAGATATCGACGTTATGGATTAACGTGTTATTCTCACGAACCATATTTCTGTCAGATATGCGTGGCTTTAGTTATAGTGGCTGTAGTTTTGCATTTCCACAACAACACGTTATATCTAGTAGCTCGACCTTCTATAGCGAATACAGACACAACCGTAATTTCCGAAAAAATCCTTCACCGACATTGAGATTATTTATGCATCGCCTTTCAAGTAAATTCCATATGTAATATCGATTCGCTTTATCGATATTACGATAATAGCTACAGCTCGAGTTGGACTTGCGAAATTTCGCGTGGAAGACAGAAATGAAAAACGAATGTCGAATCGAGGACTTAGCCGAGTGATTTAGCTGATGCATGATTAGCATGCACACGCATAAAATTTCGAAAACTTGCGAGGTCAGTCGCGAGATAAACTCGGGAAGGAGATAAAATTGCAATTTGTTCGAAACCAAAAGAATATTACGTGACGATTCGCCTCACGTTCACGCGATAAATTGGATTGCGCAACGGTGCATCTGTCGCGGCATGGAGTTTCGAAGCGCGATAACACGATCGGCCGGAAAAGGAGCATGCCATGCCACGAAAAGTGAAAGGAACCTACCGGCGAGCGGGCACTATTTTACTGGGCACTGAATGACCGAATGACTGACTGGCTGACTGCGGATGCTGGGCCCATGTTCCGCTTATATTGGCACGGTACCCCCATGCGAATCCCCCACCCACGAGGTAGACAAATCAGTCGCGAACAAGTATCTTGTAAATGATCGTGCACCAACGACACCGGCGACCGGATGACCGTCGAAGATAACGGAAGATTCTGGACCCTCCGCCGGGTCTCGTGCCCGGCTTCTTTCGCACAATTCAGCCGATCAAATGGTTGCATAATTGAAGATATTGTTAAACAATGATAATTCTGCAACGACATGACATAATTATCAGCTCCAGATAGAGAGCAGCAAAATACTGTTACAAATTGTTGTAAAATAAAAAATATAAGATAAATATAAGATGATTGACACTGTCTGGCAATGCCTGATAAAGGTCGAAATGTATGAAATATTAATCATTGTGTCAGAAAATATTTTCGAGATGATTATCATGGCAGTTTCGTATTTTATTATAAAAGATAGGAATAAGAGAAAGATGGGAACTTCATATGTATTATATTAAGGAATGGTACACGTGGTTGCTTAATTAATAATCGCGCAAATCCGTGACGTACATTATTCGGATGTGTTTATTGACTTGGGTGTTAGCAGCTTAGTTTTGATTAGAGCTGACTGTTACAAGGAAGCCAGCAATGCGCCACACAACATACGTGCCATTTAGATTAATAGGATAATAGAGAAAAGGATGTTAGATATTCACGAACGGAGCTCTCGGATCTGTTCAAGTAACCAGCTACAGTAAGTATGTCACTGACGAACTTACACGAAACTTGTCGTCGTCGTGAGAGTGAAATTAGCATTATTAGCAATACATTAACACTCGTAAAGAAATCACCGAACATTAAACCTGCCGTTTTCGCACGTAAAATCGATCTATCAAGCTCGGCAATGAGCGGACGTTTTATTTATTACGCGCAATAAATATCGTCTGTATATAAATCGCGATTATAAAATATTTCGGGATTGTAGACTTTATTTTAACATTGTCCTTCTGTTACTAATATTTTTAAAATATCGAGGTCGCGGTAGTTTTCCATTATAATATTATTTTTATAAATATTGAAAATCTATAATAGACACTTTGTGTTTAAAAAAAGCGGATGAAGAAGAAAACAATTGTACTTTTAAATTGTACTTTTTAAGGAGTAGCTGTAACACTTGTAACATTCCGCTAATCTAAACATATAATTATTTTACAAGCGAGAGAGAGAAAATGTTCTCGGAATCTTGCACAAATAAAAACAAAAGAGCTTTTTTAACAGTGTTTTCTTATTTGAATTAACGATGTAAAGTTCTCCTTTGCGCGTTATCGCATTTAAAGTTTTTTTTATCTAACAATTAACTACTGAATATGGATAATAGGATATATGATTCATATACGTATGTCATGGTCGTTCGGCTAATGCTCTACTTTACGAAATTAAGACACGAAATAATAAAAACGCGTATATCTCTCCATAGTCGCGTCTATCATTGATGTTCGAATGTGGTGAATTCAAAACTGATACGTAAGCTACGTAACGTTCATTTTTATCGTAATTATCATGCTAAAAATAAAAGTGTGACTCACATGATTATTATCAGAAATAATTTGTTGTTGCGTCTCTTCTTGTCTGGAAACCTACTATAGCTGATATCACAACTCCTCGCAATATCTTCGTCGTCATAATTAATATAATAGTGTTGTGATATAATCAAACCACTTGGGAAATAATTTGTTTACACTGTTATTTTTTAAAACTTATCCGCGTTCTACAAATTGCATTTTGCATTTCACGAATTTTTCAACGTGAAATATCAGACGGGACTTATGAGTGAAATTTCTTGCCATAGTTTTATAAACATATGTTTTTCATGTTTTTCATGTTTTATAGAAACTTATTTCACATTGTTTTTGTAATGAGAAACATAAATATAATTAAACTTTTCGACAGAATATAAGTAAGTAATACTTTTAAGTTTAATTTTTTAATAACAAAAATTTTTTGTCGAAGTACATAATTACTATTAGTATTGTGCTAAAAATTATTACAATATTTTATAAAATAATGGACATCTTAAAGTAAAAAGATTTCCAGCAGAGATATGTCTGGAAAATTTTGACACGGCAATCTTGTTTTTTAATATCTCGTCTAGATGTCAAACGATTTTTTACCATAGCTTTTAAAAATTATTTATGAATTATATTTGTCAAATTTTTCAATCGTATTTTGAGAAGAATCTTGCGTTATTGAAGATCGATCGATTTAGGAGAAAATTATCATGAGTTCGAATTAAGAGCGCCAATTTTTATTGTTATCGCTCGGCAAAAATCCGAGCAATCAAGGTGTATTTTTAAGTGATTCGAACAAGATTGATGGACGTTTATAGCGCATCTCAACGAAGTGGGGATAATTGTGCTTCGGATTGAAGTCTCCTTTGTGTGCCTGGATTCTCTTTATAAAGGAAACCGGATATTGCATTTGTAGAGCTCTGATTGGCAGTCCAGCTACGCAGTAACGTTTTGCACAATTGGGACTTTGTAATTATTATTTCCGACCGAATGTGTATATAGACAGAAAATTTAATTAATGGTGCTTTCGCAACGTACAAATCGGGAAATGTCGCTCGCTCTGTCTGGATTTCATATTAAACCGAGCTGCAAGGGAATGAAATATCGATGTTTCATTCATGCGCGACAGAAGTTTTGCCATTTTAATTACAACTTTTAGTAAAAATATGTAATAACGCATAAAAACACATAATTAAAAGATATCAAAGAATATCTTTCAAGTATGATTTTATATTTAGAGGGTACTTTATTTACTATTTATTTATTGATTTTTATTAATCTATTCTTATTATTATAATTTAATCATGATTTTTCTTATTGCATATTCAATATTAATTGTTATTATTATTTAACCTATTGAAGTTTCATAATTATTTTTAAATTAAATTAATAGCATTTGAATTTTGTGATTAAGTTGAGTGCTATAATATAATATTTTCGTGATGCAATAATTATATTATTAGGAACTTTTGCTCAGTGTAAATTACACCTATCGATTTTACATGCCTAAGAAACATTTGAAGCATTTACTCCGATACTCGCGCAATTATAGGCAACTTATCCTTGAGGTATTATGATTGATGTAATATAATGCCTGAGAAATTGATCAGAAATTGCGAAAGCTTATTCATCGTTGAACGCAATCGTTCAACAATTACAACCAGTTTTATCTCAGAAATAGTGTAGCGCGAGCGCAAAGATATTCACTCTGGCCGACGTGATATGTCGGAAAATAAAAAGACATGCAACTTCGTAAAACGTCGACGTCGACGTCGAATGTTAATGTGGCTGTCGCTCACAGGAACAGCGCTAGACACGTTGTAGATCAAAAAATAAGAAGAAAAGGGAAAGCCCGTTCGACGCGAAAAGATTATGATATGATTTTTATTCCACGGCACGGCTGGTGAGTGAAATTTTCTGCTGAAAAATTTTTGACATCTCGTTTAACAGCCGTAACAGAGAATCTCTACAGTTATATATTCTGATTTTTAGAATCTTTTAAATTTATACATATTATAAAAACACGCGAGTAAAAACGTGTTTAAAATATTTCGGGTAAGAAATCATAATGTAGATTTCTTGTACAGATGGTTCAGATTATTTAAAAGTTGTCAAAATATTTAAATTACTGAAAAAATGCAAGAGTAATAATATTACATTTATATTATATTATTGCAACAAAAAAATCGATTATAAGACTAAAAACTGCAAAAGATTTCTGGACGGAAATCTCATTCGCGATACGTTTTAAAAAATATTAAATCTGGTGTATGTAACGTTCTATTAAAACGCACGAAGCCTCTTTTTATCACTGGAACGATCGTATTACACATTACAGTATAACGTATAATGCACAATGCCGCCTAACAATGAATGTTTCACGTAATAAATAAGTCATCAAGATAATCGTGCTTTTGCAAATGTTTGCCTGATATTCTCTAACACGAGACTTATTTTACCCTCGTAAATCCAATATACGGCAAATACACATAATCGAATAAAGTACTGAGAAATGCGATATACTGAAAGTATAGCTGTCAACACCCAATGAAAAACAATGATATTAACGTGAATGTTGAAGTATCATTCAAAACAATTTAAATTATATATGGAAAAATACTAATTAAATATTAATTAATAGATTAAAAATGCAGATATATTTACTGATTGCATTGCAAATAAAGGTGCGGTACTTTTTTATTCCGTTCTTCTTGCGCGCTCATATTCTTATTCCTCGCTTCATTAACTTATTGTTAATTAGACGTTCTAAGGAAAACCGCAAGCAGTTTGTCGTTACTGATATTACAATTTTAAATTAAATTCAAAGGATATATTAACGACGTGTGATTAATGTTTAATTCGATTGCAACGTTGAAGTCGCAATATCTATAAAAGTACACGTGTAAATATGAGTGCACCATGTATCGCAATGTAAATAATTAATACTCGTTCTCGTTCTCAAGGTACTCGATATCTTTGCGAACATCCGCGAAAAGTATAAATAAGCAAGCCTAGGCCAAAGTTAACAAATGCCTCTTGCTCTGAAAATAATCGAGCTCGAAATTGTTGCGGAAAATTCCAAAAGTGCACGAGGTATGTAATTATGCGATCTAATTATACGGGTGATTACTAAAACAGCATGAGTCAACCTTTTTACGAATGAGTCAGAGACGTTATCTTTTCAAATGATACACTTATTTTTAGAAAAATACGTCTTCAATTTAAAGAGCAATTTGCAATGATTTATATTTTATTCATAATAATTTTGTATTAAAATTTTTTAACCATCGATCGATAATTTTTTCTCACTCCAAATTTTTTTTTTTGTCCGCCGAATAATTTTTACCAAGTGAGTAAAAAAGATGATAAAAATTTTCAAAAAGTTGATATATAATTGTAAGATTTACGGAGCATGTCATTTCTCTTCTCTCAATCGCTGTTCTCTTTTTAAATTTCCTATCTAATTCGCGATATGCAAACACTGTATAATTTGCAATTATTTCAACTTTTTTTAACGTAAATTATTCGACGAAAGAGCATTCTTTTCTTCCTTACCTTGTGAAGACTCTGCTTCCACGTGACCAAGACTCGTCTACCGCAAACAGCTGCGAGCGCGACACTACTTTTCCTCGCTATTGCTTCACTGTGTGACGTACGTTATCGACGCACACTCGCGTAGATTATGCGTTTTAAAACGTCAAGCATCGACTGCGTCTTACAACGGAGAAACTTGGAGAATCAAGTCCGTAACAGATACGCGAGCCGCGAGAAGACTGACGAGAGAAGAGAGTCGTTCTCTCGTCACTGGCGCCGTTATCGCGATTAAACGACTTTAATGTCGGTTCCTTTTCAGAGATGGGCCGCTCTCGCATGTACCCGATCGGTCGTCGACCCCCTCTTAGGAATCCCCTCTCAGGTTTCTCGGTAGATTCTCTCGATCTTCTCTCTGGCAATGGCGACTCGCTACTCACGAAAAATATTCCGCGGAAACCTTCCAGTCACAGTCTGCCGACGAACTGCCTGGAAAAACGATCCGCGATAAGTAGACATACATATGTTATCTTTTTACAAGGCAACAAACGAAATTGAAATGTCTCCCTCTTTTCCTCCAGTGATAATATTCAAGTCGCGCATTCTTATCTATATACTGCTTTTCTTGCGGAAAAACGGAAAAACAAACGCAAATTCTCAAGATTCAAAGACCGAATAAAAACATTGCAAATAAATCATCCATTAAGTAATTTTTTTCAGTAAAATAGTCTAAAAAATCTTGTTCTTCTGTCATGCAAGAGAGAACAATGTTTAAAGTTTTTAATCATTTTTAATTTTCCCGCACAGATTTCAGTTAAAGTGTGCTACAATAAGTGACGGGCGAAATATGAAGTATGAAATCTTAAATGCACTACTCAACTGATGAATGATTGATTAACGAGTTAAACGAACAGGGAAAAGTGTAACAACGTTCACAGTAGCACTAGTCAGAAGAAACTGAAACCTATGAAAAACAGTTATGATGCTCGCCTTCCTTAAACATTTACGAAGACCATTCGTATATACCTACATGTACACCTTTGAATCTCCCCTCTTCTAGAACATTAGTCATTATAGCACCAAGGTTTCACGGGCCTTGTGCAATGCGGTTTATAGATAAACTATGCTCCGATCGAATTGTGTCGCTTTATAACGCTTTGTTCAGATTCTCATTGTTGGGAAAACGAGGTAATTTCACTTTAATCGCACTAGTAAACTTCATAAACTGAAGACGATACCATTTCGGATATAATGACAATTAATTCTTACTTTGTCATTTTTTTCTGTAAAAATGTTCAATAGATGCTATTGAGACTGATCGATTAAAATATTTTCCAAGAATTTTTTTTCTAGTTTGCATTAAAAACAATTTATTTTAAAAAAGTCGAAACTTTCCTCTGAGTAGGTGCAGACTCGACGCGAATTAGCGAGAGAGTTAAATCCGACTGACAGATCAGCGATTCAAGCGACGATAGCTAAACATCGCCAATGACGAACGGAAGATTGACAAGGTTCTCTTGCGCAATAATTCCTGTCGATCAACGTGAAGACAAACCGTTGCTCCGATACCGCGACTCTTTTCATTGACATACTCCACACTCTTGTGGCATTGCGCTGTAAAGTGGCAATGGCGTAGACGTCGGCGTCATGAAATTACGACGCACCTTTACGCTTCGCTGCCTTGACCCTGCGGATTCCTTCTGCTGCAAGATAAAGATTACTTTGGCCGTTTCGAAGTGCGAGTCTCCAACGTTGCTGTCAAAACACATATCGCGGAATATCTTCGAAAATAACCTTCGGTAATTATAATGACGCTACGTTGCTCAAACAGAGATAAATATCTCGTAGAAAGTCTTTATCACCTTGTATAGAAAATTAAGAGTTTATGCATTATTATCGTTGAGCTCAACATTGTAGAAAAATCAGCATTTGTACCAATCGTAACGCAATTGTGAATAATTGTGTTATATTCTAACGTTATAAGTAGAGAGAAACCTGCGTAAATAACATTTTAGAATCTATATAAAATGTATGTCTCGAGATTTAGGTAAGATATGAATTTAATAAAAGCTTGCATTTTTATTAATTTTTAATTGTTTAATTTATAACTGTTGTTATTAAAATTACCAAGTTTATTTGATTATTTTAAATAAAGTTTACAATATATAATAGTGACGATTGCCATCAGTTTCATCGTTTCACGAAGGTCAACTCACGAAGGCAATCATCATCGCACGGTCGCACATCGGAAATGTTCGGATAAAAATGCAGTTTTTTATTTTATTAACGCTAAATACAAGTTTTATTAGCATTATCTGCGGTTAAATATTTAATGTCATCTGCCTTCAAATTAATGGAGAATTATACTTAGCAAATTAATGGCAACGCTCGCACTGTGCTCTGTCAATAGGTATTAATTAAAGCCTCTCGGATTTGTTTGCAGCTCAAATCTTATTAGGTACATACATTCGAAATCATTCATTAGAATTGTATCTCTCGAGATCCATCTTGAGGACGCCTACTATTTCTATCCGGCCGTGCTTGACCTACACTCGGATGTACCAGGTCTACAGCCTCCGCCTCGTGTTTCTTCTTTTCCTTTTCCTCTTCGTCCTCCTCCTCTTGCTCCCTCATCTTGCTATCTCTCGTTGTTTTCCACGGATGAGAGAATTTTATTGTCACACATAATCATAAATCATCATTTTAATGCGATTAAAAATACGCGATGGACGCAGCGCGTCGTCCGGTGCACTGCGTCGCATTTCCTGGGATCGGATTATGGCATCTTCGGAATTGAAGAACACTCCTCGTGGATCGTTAGCACGCATCATGAATACGCGTTACCGCGATTCCGCGACTGCGGCGACATACGATTCTCGTTCTTGCATGCAAATGCGGATGATTGTAACTATGTAAGTAAAACTCGAATACCGCGTTTGGAATACTCAGAGAAAACGTGCAACGTGAAGCTCGCGTTTAATTTGTATGAATAATTCGCAAAATAACCTTCTGATAAAAATTTAATATAGCGTCGATATTAACAGTAAAAAATCGATTAATATTCATGACAATATCGAATTTCCTGCACGAGACTCATTAGCTTTTTAATATTCAAATCAAATACCGTTAATTAAAAATATATACTAATGTATTTTGCCGGCAGCGTTATTAATTATTCTATCAGTAACGTGGGATTCGAGTAACTCTATTGTTTTTTCCACGAGAACATCTATCACAAAATATAATATACAGTTCTACATAAATTTTTAATCTCATTTATTTCCTCATTCAAAATTAAAAATATTTTATTAGCCATATAGATAAAAGTCTACCAATTAATTATCACTCTGTCTTTTTTTTCTTCTCGATCTACATTTATTTTCAATATTTCTATAATTATACTGTTCTGAAATTAAACTACTCTTTGCTTTTGAATGACATTTTAAATTAAACGTAAATTATAGCGATACATCAATGATCGTCTACAACGCAATTAGTTTATTCTATTATTTTCTGTAATTTTACTTCTATATTCGAATCAATTATACCGCCCTTAACGATGATGAGGTTCACGCAACAGCTGTTCCGGTTGGATAACCACGAAAGTTGTTCGTCCCGGTTTTCGCAGTTTTTCACCTTCGCTTTAGAGTTACTTAGATGACTGTGTCTAGATAATGCCCGCGGTATCAACCGCGAAGTATAAGCGATCCGTCAGCCCGCAGCGAGAGGTGCCCGCGGGGCACGTCTCGCTTTCACTTGGCTGGTTTCGCGCGTGGGCCACGTGCATTGGAGAACATTATGCGGCGGATGCATGTCGAGCACGGTGATCCACCGAACTGATGTATCTGAAAAGAGGAAGAAGGAGGGACCGGGCAACGGCGTTTCGCGTACGCAATCGCCGATCGGACCGATAGCGATTACGCGATCGCGAGACCGCGTCTCGTTAAATCGGTATCGCTCGTTCGCGATCGAGACCCCCTGGTGCCACAGCGTCCCTCGGCAGCTTGGCACCCAACCTACAACCTGCCTTGTCCTCGTCGTGACTCGCCGATGACGCAACGCATAAATACACGCCACGGGGAATCGAACCGGTGACTTCTAGTTCTACCTCTGCTGCTGCCGCTGCTGCTGCTACTTCTTCATCTTCTTCTTTTCTTCTTCTTCTCCGAGAAGAGCAGTCTTCGAAGAGCGGTAGTCCCGGAGGCAGCTCCCTTGATCGGTACGGCTCCCGAGATCGTTATCGTGAGAAGTGGATGAATCTCGGGCTGCCAGATCTTGTGGCAATTGAGTCGAGAAGAAGGAGGTAGTACAGCAGGGAGAAGGAGGAAGGAGAAACACACCAGGCAGACCTCGGAGAAGCCGTCGGGTCCTGCCGCCAGACTCGTTTTATCCTTCGATCGACTTGGAGGACTCCTCGCGAGGACCAAATCGCTACTAAATATTTCCGGTACGCCTTCGGGACTCCTGGCTCACAAGATGTGGCGGCTATTGATAGTGATCGGTATGATTGCGATCGCGAGGGCTGGGCCGTACGATAGGACGGCGGACTCACAATCAGTGAACGACAGGACGCTGTTCATCAGGAGTTTGCCGGGTTATCCTGGAACCAGAAGCGATCTCTATGAGGTCTACATGGAACCGTATTATTTTGTACGTATTTAAATTTTTTTGGTTTTTTTTTTATGAATATGTGATGAATTTTTATGACGTTATACGTAATTACGATGATTGAAAGACCTATTTTTCATACACACTATCTTCATTTTACATGCAATAATTTTATTTAATGTGTGACGGAATTTATATCATTTTTATATAATTAACTACTGACAAGCTTGGAATTTGATATTAATCGTTTAATATTAATCGCTTATTAATCATTAAATTGTCGCTATATATATTTGTTTAATATAATTTAATTTCTGTAGATATATTGAATTGAAAAATCATTGTATTGTTACTGTAATATTATCGTAATGTTTATGATAATTATGAAAAAATATTTTCAGTTTCCATTTTTGAGAGAAAATTTTAAGGTAAATGTATCAATGTCTGGACACGTACCTATGTCTAAATATTTTCATCATTTTAATCCTTAAATAAGTTATGACGCGAATTAAAATCAAAGAGTCAAAAATAAAAATATTTTTCTTGTATTGTATCTTTATCTTTGATTTTAATTCGCGCTATACTTATTTAAAAGCTAAAGTGATAAAGATGTCCAGACATAGGTCTTGAGTGTCCCGGCATTGGTACATTTACCTTAAGTGACTAATGTTACGAATTCTTTATCACATTCACTTAAAAAAACGTTCTAATTCTTGATTAGATAATCGCTAACCATTAATTGATTTCGACTTTTTCACTTTGCAATTCCAACTGTTTCGAATCTCACACGGATCTTTATCGTGACCTGAAACAGATTACGTAATCTTGTCAGACTTGTGCGAAAATGTTCATTGAACATCCTTTCACTTTTCTCTCAAACTTTAACGGAGTTGCTCCTCTTATGTCGCCATTCATCGAACTTTGATTTCCCTTGATTAAACTCGGTACATAATTTCGCTGCTCGATATATGTGATTACTGTTGGATCTCAATAATGCTCGCGGTAATCAGTATCGTTATATTTATAGTCTTACGTGCAAATAACAGCCGTTACAAACATTTCCGCCGAACGTTATTGAAGTAGCAATCATCTGTCATTCGACATTACTTACAAGACGGTGAAACGAGAATTGTATAGAATACAATAATTTATTATTCATATGGGTACAGAAGGAAAACGCATGAAGGAAAACGAGTTGCATTAGCTCGTTTTTATTAATATACATATTTTACAATAAAAATTTGCATCGATAAATCGAACGATATGTTTTCACATATTTGTTTGTTATTATACCATATTATTTACAGAAATAAAAATCCTATAAAAATCTCAAGCAATTTTTCTATTCTTGATAAAGAAAGTATATAGATTAATATTTAATATTTTATTCAAATAAAAATATAAATGTATAAAAATGTAATAGTATTATATACATTAACTCAATCTCGTTTAGCGTTGAGACGATAAGAGTACGTCGTTTTAAACGACACTCCGTCCGCAGCATCCTTCTCTTTCGTCGCGTGCATCTCGTGTAAACATTTACCATGCGCGTGACTTCTTCATCACTCTGCGACGAACGTGGCGATACAATTCATCGGTTCGTCCATCGTGGCGCGTCTCTATCATTAGTCATTAACCACATAGTCCATCTTTAATCCTCGGAAATTTGCATAATTAGCCATTAAGTTATTTAAACATCGCGAAGGACGCCGACTGGTGCGCGTCGTTATGCCACGAGGACGCTTTCACTACGAGTGATCGCTCTTCGCCTATGCCCCGTGCAATTCTAACGAAGCGGCGATTCACTTCGGCCGACCTTGCACGCAGTTTCTAGCCGCTTCATCGTCGCCGTAGATTATACCCCTGGTCGCATTGGTAATTGCAGATTTTACTCGTGAACCACAACCTCGCTTAAACAAAAAAGGAAAATAGATAAGACTCGACATCCGTACGAGTCGCGCGAGGTGAATCAAGGTGAGCGCGAGTGGCGCAACTCTAATACGATCCAGTTGATGGATCAAATTAGATAGGAAGCACACCGTTCCCGAGTACGCTACATAGTGTATCACTCGTACACGATTCGCGGACGCGTCATTATCAATTTCCGGTCTTCGCGTTCTCCCGCGGGACTCCGCTCGCGCGGTAGCATTTATGGATTAATCGAGCTATAATCGAGCTGTAACAAATTGCTTCCTCGTAGATCCTCGTAGGTCACGTAGATTTTCGTTCTACTCGGAGTCGCCAGTCTATATGGATTTTTGATCGAAAAAGTTATTTTTTTAGGATATTTTAATATTTTATATATAATTATATTAGAGGCCAATTTTGCGTTATTTATCTCTTAAAAAAAAAAGACGCTACCCGTTTATATAATATTTGTCGAATAAAATCTTTTGTTACCTTTACTTTCGTTGACCTTTGTTGCCAATCTATTAACGTCTGAAATAATCGTGATCTTTTGTAATTTGCAGGCAGTCGGTCTGAAGGCCGTGGTGGAGATGAAAGCTCTCGGTGAGGATGGTTCGCCGGTTGACGGGCCTCGAGGGATGCTGACGTTGGAGCAGCATCCCGAAGGGGTCAGGGTCACGGGCACAATCACGGGGTTAAATCCGGGCTTACACGGATTCCACGTGCACGAAAAAGGGGATTTGAGGAAAGGTTGCAATTCGGCTGGCCCGCATTTCAATCCGTACATGGTAACGACGGCATTGCGCGCAATTCTAAATTATGCGCAATCAGTTTATATGATATAAATAAGCATTTTTCTCTCGTCATATGGACGTATAATATAATACGGGTTTCATGTTACAACATCGTTTCTGCGTCTCTCTCTCTCTCTCTCGTGTCAGCTGGTCTATAAAAATTATAAATTTATAAGTATTGCAGAGAGATTCACGTTGTGTTATTATAAGAGATATAGACGGTAAAATTTTGCGAGATTCCTAGCGTGGAGGTCATGAAAAGTTATCTAAACTGTTTTTCTTCAGTCACCGCTTTCGCAAGTTAACTTTTCCAAGTTAACTTTTCTCGGCCTCTGAGAAAACTAATTCGAAAGTCGAGAAAGTTAAATTTTCAGATTATTTCCCTTGAGTTCTAGGGGAAAAAAAACTACATTACCGTTGCCACATTGAACTTTCTGAATGCAAATGTGACACGATTAGCAAAAATTGATAGCCTCGCGCCTCGCGAATTGAACCGTCGCGATCTCCCCCGATAACGCGCTCCCTCTCTCCGTTCTCCGTTACGGTAAACGAAGAGTGATTACGTTTCAGGTGAATCACGGTGCACCGAGTGATCCGTTACGTCACGTCGGCGATCTCGGCAATATTGAGGTCGGGCAGGACGGAGTGGTGCAGATCGACGGCATGGATCACTATTTGAGCCTGGTAGGTGTTCGGGGTGCGATAGGTAGGGCTTTGGTGATCCACGCGAAACCCGACGACCTCGGCCGCGGTGGAACCGAGGAGAGTCTGAAGACCGGATCGGCGGGCGAACGTGTCGCCTGCGGCGTTATCGGGTTCTTGTAAAAGGATTTTGGTGAAGGGCGAATTCGGCTATTGCATGCACTAAATACGCACTGAAAGCTTAATTTGTATAAAGAGATATACTGCGTAGTACGCAGTATCCTTTGTGCCTTTGTATATATATTCCGAATCTCGGCAGTCTTTGTTAAAATGCGTAGTTTAAAAAGGATTTATACAAAGGTTTCAATTATTGTAGATATTTATTACGTAACGTTCATTTATTTGTTATTCATGAAAATAGCATAAAAATTTGTTTTTAAACTGAATATACGTAAAATAAAACTTACTCATGAACGTTTATTCAAATAATACAATTATTATTTAGTTAAAAAGTAATCATTTGTAATATCTCTCCTTTATTGCTAAATTTGTGTACAACAGCCTGCAGATTGTACGCACTAGTGCATCCACCCAAATTCGCTAAAAGAGATGTTGCGTATCGCAACTTTGTTCATTACTAATTTAATTGCGTCCATTTGTACCGATCAATAAATCACGAATATAATCGAGCACCTATCAAATTTTATACATACACTTTCATTTAATCCTTCGCAACTTGGGAATTGGACCATGTTTGTTGTAACAAGATTTTATTGTAATAGCTTTCGATAGTCGAATAGTCGTCGATACATTTTTCGGTGAAGTAAATACGACAATATACAACATATAGCCAGACAAAATATAGGATCGTATATTAAAAACGCAATCAATGATTCTTGCTAAGCAATCAAAACTGCAAAGTCTCCACGGATCTTTCAAGGATTGTATGCAGTTTATTTTTATACGCGCACAATATTATTACACAATTAAGACGTGACTGAAGCGTCCGTATAAGAGGAAGGAAGGAAGAAAAGGGTAAAATCGCAAGAACGAAACGTCGAATATTTTACACGGACGGATCGTTCGCTTCTTCTGGGAATCCACAAGTACGGGAGTCCCGAGTGGTCCGAGGTAACAAGAACTCCGGACGCGGAGTCTAGGGTAGAAGTTCGCTGAAACTGTGAAGTGGCGAATCTGCAGTTAGCTCGTCCTCGTCGACGGTGTTCCCGAATGCAGCAGGTACCCTAGGGGCTTCGGCGAAGCTCCGCGTATCTTCTCCACTGCCGACGGTCTTACAGGCTCGCCCATCTCCTCGAGGGCCTGCAACACCTTGGTCACCACTTCCGGCGGTGAGGTCCTCCTTGCTCCCGGCGCGTCCGGTCGATGCTGGAGGTCGTCCTGGCGTGGTTGCCTTGGCAGCCCGAACGTTTGCGGTTGGAAATGCACTACGAGGATATTGAACCGTCCATTTAAGCACTTTATGTCTTGTCGTAAAGCTACCCCGGGTCTACAATATCGATCGTTTTTGCCCGGGCTTACGCCGTCGAGAACGCCGAGAGCGAGCCAAGACAATAAAATAATTTTTATTATTGCCCAAGATTAATCGTCCACGATTTCGCGTTCGCTATTACGATACCGGCAATTTGCAAACTACGACAAATCTCGACAATATCTTCGGTTAATTTACCACTTAAGATTTATGTATAATACCATAAGATTGCTATAATTTTCTTATTTTTTAAATTTCCTGTCACTGATAAATAGTGATTATAGTTGATTGTAGTGATGCAAAATGATTCGATTCTTTATATTGTATAATAGTATAATAAATTAATTATTTTATTTTATATAATAAAAATACATAATAATATTAACAGAATTGATCAACTAGATAGTCTGTTATATGTAAAAATATAATTAAAAATTTTCAATATTATAATTCAAACTTTAACATTTTTTTTTCTCAGTTTGGCGAATACTCGAATCAGCTGTTAATTCGTTGATACAATCTGTATTTTTGTAGAAATCTGACAGTAAATTTTTTTCAAGTTATATAATTAGAGGCAAAGTTGTATAAACAAATCGTGTCAAAATAAATTGTGTAAAGAATTAAATGATAACTTTGCGCTCTGGCTATTTTTATTATACGGCAAAATAACAGCTTGCCTCATCAAATAAAGCAAACTTTTTAAAGAAATGCATTTCTCGCTACAACTGGGGTGACATTACTAGGAACATCCAGGACGTCGTAATCGGAAATGTCATCCAAATCATTTGCATCGAAACTGCGACCGCATCTAATGACGAACTGTATGCAATCGATGATCAGCCTTTTTGATGATCTCCACATAATCATGCGCGAACATTTTGGGACGAGACCGTCGCGAGTGACGTGCAAGTTACATTGTCACGAGTCGTCGCGTTTCGTGTCACGTAAATATTGACAGAAGTGCTTGGACGAATACACGAGTGTACGTTGAAGTTCGTTAATGTGAGTATAACAAAAGTGAACTTACGCATTTAAATCTAATAATTGATGGAACATTGATTGCTTTGTCGATACTTTTTTATTCAGAAAGTCCTTGTTATTTAAATTAAATTACAGAGACACTCTTATCATTCTAATTTAATCGAGTAGTAGTTTTATAATGGTATTGCGTGATGAAATAAGTGTAATTTGTACTAGCGTGATTTTTGTAATTGTGAATTGTAATTTCTTTCAGGAAAATTTATATTTAATACTGTAAAATTCAAATTAATAGATTCAAATAACAAATTTTAATTTATTTAATTGAATCGTATTACAATGAAAAATCATAGGTAACTATACAGCAAATACATATGCGACTATATATGCTTGAAGGAAATCAATTTTACAAATCTTTCTTTGAGCATATCGAATAATAAAATTGAATATAAAATTAAAATATCGGAATGCTTGTATCAATGTATGCTAAATTTAAATCTGTTAAAAATAGATGTCCACGTTATCTTGAAACTTAGTATCATGGCTACATCGGGAGAATAGCTTCACATAGATACGTACTTATAAAATTAGCAGAATATTGATCGTTTTCACAAAGGTAGAAAAGTTTGTATATTGAAAGTGAAGAATACGTTGAATATCACTATCGTCTGCCCCTTCCTCTACCTCGGCCACCTCTACCACCCCTGCCACCTCTGGCGCCGCGTCCTCTGCCACGGGCAGCACCTACAAACAAATAGTATGATTAATAACTACAGAAAACTTTTGTTAATTGCGATAACTACAAAGAGATAGAAAATATTCTCTTTGAAATACAGAGACCTGATGTTAAAAACATAATCGGATTAATATTTATTGGATTTAACCCTTTCAGTGCTGAATAATTTTATAAACAGATTGCGCGGAATACTCTACCGTCTGTATCGCACTTCAGCACTAAAAATACTTTTGTTTATTATTAAAATCAGGCACGTAACATACTCATGTTTATTGAATTCAGCGAACACTTGAACTAATCCATAGCGTGCCATTTGCTGGATATGTTTATACATGCACAGCACTGAAATATTGAAAGATATATATTAATATGCTATATGTACCTCTCGCAGCTTCCTTCTTCTTGGCCTTAGCCTTCGGCGTATCATCTATCAATAATGTTTCCAAGGGAAGAGAATCAGGCAAGATGTAATATCTAATATTGTTACCCCGCAAACTGAGAGTTTCTAACTGTATGGGATCACGATTCTTTATTGTCATTTTCACTGTTTTCAAGTGTGTATTCATTGCAACGTCGACACCTGCAACGAAATAATTTATAATTAATTCTACAACCACAATAATGTAATCTTGCTCCGTTAAATATTATAAATTCTCAATTATAATGTGATTTTTGCCGTATCAGTGGTGGGATTAATTTTACACAGCCAGTAGCCACACAGATTTCAATCTTTAACCTGATGCCAAGTCGTAATAACAAAACATTGCTTCGACGTACCTGTAATCGTTCCAGTAACTTGGGTCCCATTTTTCAATTCTATTGTCACAGTCTCGTGACTGAGTTTCATCAAAAATCTGCAAAAGCAACAAGACGTTATTCCTCCGAGAAATAATCAATGTTTTCGCGCAAAAACATTTAAAGTATAGGTTAGGTTGCGCGCAAGTAATTGCTTCGAATTCTCACAGAAAGTATACAGACGAGTCATTGCACGCGTGAAAAATTCAATGTCCTCGCGACGTCTTCTTTATTATATAAGTTTTCACATATCTTACGTACCTTACTAGCTTCATAATGCGGCTAGATTAATTATTCTACAACGGACAATTCACCGATACCGGCGGATACCATGCGTGAAAACCAGGGACTTGCCGGACTTGCAGGGACCAGGGACTCCAACCTTTTAGAAATAAGAGGATTATTTTTGGCGCTGCAAACGCTTGGAGCGTCAATCGTTACACGCATCGAGCCGAATATTTATAATTTACAGTTGATAAACGAAATACATATTTGCTCATTCGCTAATAAAAATGTACTGATGCTCTTGTCAAATTTATATTTAAATAGATTTTTAATAAATTTAAACACGTGTATTTTTCGTATTTAATATAATTTTGATCCTCTTTATTTTCACAAGTCCCAAGTCAATAGGAATAAAGTTAATCAACAAGTATATACAAAATAACATTGTCAAATGTATTCTCAGACTTCCTTTTAGCGCTGTCGAGAAATATAAAAGAGACTAGACGGCTATACAGTTTTCATGGGCCTTTGCATTAATTAACTTTAAAATCGTTGACATTCTTCCTCCCGATCCTACGTCGAAGGTTCGCGGAAAGTCGGTTCCCGGTGGTCTGTTGTACAGCAGCTGCATGCTCTGCTCCCACTTGACAGGCGTCACGATTTGCTTCACCAAATATCTCTTAATTAACGACGGATTGCCATAGACGTGCCCCTTGCAATTGGAATAGACTTGACACCTAAAATCATTGAATTCTAACGTATGGAGCATCTTGCCGAAGGACTTGAGTGCCGGTTCCATCAATTTTGTGTGGAATGCGCCCGACACCGGCAGCCTGGTCAACTTGGAAAATCCGTATTTCTTTGCGTTCTTTTCTATGTACTCGAGAGCCTGAGTATTCCCAGCCAGGATCTTCGATTGAGTGTACAAATATACTGCCACCCTACAACAATTCTTTCTATAATATCTAACATAGTGCCACATCCCTCTCAAGCATTTATAAATTATCACAAACTCAATTTCATAGTAATTCAAATCGATTGCATGAAATGTATGTAATGTGCGACAAGAAAACATTTCTACAAATGCATGAAACGATTCTTACTGACAAACTGGCACCTCTACGCCGCAATCTTGCGCCCACTTCTGAGCATCCTTGCACGCCTCCGTTATTGCAGCCTGTGGAGTACAGTGGACCGACAGCATTCCCTGAGGACACTTTTCAGAGGCGTACTGCATCGCGGCGCCTCTCACGGAGACCAATCTGATGCCATCCTCGAAGGGTAAAGCGCCTGAGAAGATCAGGGCAGTCAGTTCCCCCACGCTATAGCCCGCAGCTGCTTTACACGTTTCGAATACCCTGGGCCTTTCCTCGCGCAGTCGCTCCAGCGCAGCCAGCGAACTCACCACCGTGGCCGGCTGATTGAAGCGGGTCTGATCCAGCTTCTCCTGCGGACCATTCAGGCAGAGCTTCAGCAGATTGTAGTCCAGAATCTCGTTGGCTATCTCGAACAATTCTCTCGCCTGTGGAAAACGCAAGTACTTCTGCACCGTGCCGACTTTGATGGTACCCTGTCCTGGAAAGAGCACGACGCAGGTGTCCAACGGATCGACCTTCGGCTTGGCGACTTCCTCCTCGACGGAGGTCGGGGCATCGGCCGGGTAGGGGGTCGTTGCCCAGCTTGTATCCTGGGCATCGCTGTAAGTGGCAGCCTCCTTCAGGAGGCGAGAAACATTCTCCTCGCCCGAGGGAATTTCGACGTCGCTCGCGACAGGTTTGTCCCGCGACTCGCCGGTATTCAACTCACCGCTACTCTCGTTTTTCGTGGCAGCCGTGTCGGAGAATTTGTTTACCTGTCTCGGGGACAACAAACGACTCAGGCAGGGAGCCGTTTTACCGGACAGAGCTCGTTGGAGCATCGTCAGTGACAGCATTGCAATTGACGACGTTAATTCAGAATGTGTAATTCGAGATGTATTCCAATCGCGGCTGTCAGTTTATATAATTATCGTTAATTCTAACGTCAGATTGCGATCACGTGTGTCGCATGCCTATTCTACATAGTACATAACCATACAATAACATCGCTCGGCGCCGAGAAAACGCTGTCGAGAATAGACTGCCCAACTGTGATCCAGTGGTGTCCCGCATTGACTAATCCGGTTCTTGGACAAGTTAATCACGCCACAGAATCAGCTGACTAGCGCGTCAGTGCGCAGGGGATTCGTATATGTCCGTCATTTTAAAAATTCTAAATAATAAACATTTCTTCTTCTTTAATAGATTTCCGTCTTATAAATAGACTTCTGTCATCACGCGTTTAGCACAGGCTTTTAATGCCTGTGTAGGTTTTATAATATTATTTATTTCTAGTGTATAATTTGTAATATTACATTAATATTATTAATAACATTATTTAGGTTTCATAATATTTAAATAAAGACATTGCATTTAGCACGTGCTTTCAAAGGTTGTACAAATTTTATAATATTATACATTATAATATTTTACTTATAATTTTATTTAATCAATCATTATTTAATTTTAATTTTATTTAATTAACCATTAAATCATTATTTGAGTTTTGTAATATTTATATAAAAACATCAAACGCTTCAAGTTAAAAAAATTTAAACATAAAAAATACATAAAAACATTAACAACGTTAAACATTTTTTATATTTTATTTATAATTATGTGGGAAACACGTTACAATATAAATAGAATATGTTAAGAAATAAATAGCGAAGCTAGAGTATACGCGTCTCTCGAGAGCTGCGAAAAATCGTCAGAGTTATGCGGGGAGCATGATGGGACAAGAGGTG